AATAGAAATAGAGGTAGGTAGATAATTAGATATCTTAATTGCTTTTGTAAATTTGTCAACTAATAAATTTGATTCTGTATACGTTTAATTTAAAAACTGAATTTCAGCTTAAATAAATTATTGAAAAAAGATTGTATCTATCTATATTAAATATATTCATAAATATATTCATAAATATAATTTCATAAATATATTCTACGCATTTTTTGATGTAATAAACATTTAAATTTCTTTCTTTAATTATTATTTGATAAATATATTCTTTACAAATTTTACATTAAATACATTCTTCACAAATTTTCTTTCATTTTAATATTTGACCTGATATTTGCACGATATAAACCTCAGTACTTTCCATCCTTCTATTATTTACAGTAAAATAGCGACTATCCGCAGAACTCGGACAATTTGGATAAGTGAAAATTTTGAATAGCAGAGTGTATAGAAAGCGCAACTCACTGTAGAAAAGAAAACTTATTGAAAAACCCGTTTCTAATCTAAAAATCAATAAAGCATCCTATTTGCTATTAATTGGAATTCAAAACCCCTAATCTAAAATTTGGAACATACGGCATACAGAACATGCCATAAATAGGAAATGTGTTCAATTTAATATGTCTAACATTAAATATTTTTGAATTAATTTTATGTGGATATTACATTAAATTTCTTTATTTTCTTTCTTCTTCTATCCAAGTCTTTTGTAGTGGGCTGTAGTTGGTAATGTACTATAACAGAGCAGTAATATTTTTTAATCAAAAGCAAGGATTTATTAATGATTAAATAAAATACGAGCTATTTGAAATTTAGTAGTATGATTTAATACCTGTCATTTATTACAAATTTATTTGAAGAAATTATTTTAGCATTACGCTTGGACTGTTTAATGATTTTAGATTTGTCTGTTATAGGCTTAGGTAACGCAGTCGCATGGAAACAGGCAAATAGACAAAAGTCCCATCCTGCGAATAGGAAGATAATTTCTGTTTCTCATAACATCATAGCACTGATGTTATGAGATTGTACCAGAAAACCACGAAATGGAGCTCCTATTACTTCAGCGGCATTATGACGTGAGAATGTACGAAGTCAAGAAGCGCTGTGCTTGGCTGGCAGATGATCCAAAATTGGGGGTTGGAAGAGAAGGTTAGTGAATATGCAACATAAATCAGGCTTAGAGGTGGGGAGGAAGCTCTGAAATTCAGAACTATAACTAAATCAGAAGGGTAAAACAAAACAGAAATCAGGGAGATAGGGAGATGACTAGGAAAGATTATTGTTACTATAAATAGGTAATGTTTAACCTAACAAAATTATGTGAAGTTATGCACGATAGAAATTAAAAATAAAACACATATGAAATAACTAGGTCAGGTATAGTGAGTAAGGTAAAGCTGCAAAAGAGAATAATCAAATTATAAAATTAATTAAGTCTGAGGAGTACAGTTCCCCGCCTTCTACTGTGAGAACTGGAGTTATAGAGTAGTCTAAGCTTTGAATAGACGGACGTTTGATAATGCTGATATAATTAAATAATTTTTTTGGTTTGCCATATACTTTTTAGTGTTATGAATTTTAAATTCTCATGAATTGAAATGTTGCTATGAACCACTTGCATATAGTGATTTGCCTCAGAGTGGTGTTTTGCAGCATTTGCAATATTTTAACATGAGTTTCACAACGTAAACTCAGGCAGTCCCAACGCGTTATCCTAGCCGGTGTACCTCAGGGATCGCTTTTGTGACCTGCAGTTTCCAATTTGTACGTGAACGACATTCCGCAGGAAGCCAGCACCACACTAGCGCCTTACGTTGACGACACTGAGATCTCCTCACTAAATGCTTTTTCGTCGTCTAGCATTACAAAACTACATCCATGCACTTATGGCTTAGGTAATTAGATGGAAAGTGGAAATCAATATAGGCAAATCTACAACGCTTCTCTTTGCAAAGAAAAGGAAGATTAATGGAAATATAAAACTGTATGATTTCTCTTTGCACTAGGTTAAGCGTGTCGCCTATCTCGAGATAATCGTAGACAAAAATTTCACATGGTTCCCACACATACAATCTATTATCCAGAAGTTTCAAATCCATAAAGCTCAAATTTTCTCCTTATTACTGGTACTTATAAACAAAGCTGTAATCACTCTTGTGCTGCCGCTTTGAAAGGGTCAAAAAACGATCCTCATTCATCGTTGTGGATTTTGGTAGACCTTCTCTATATGGGTCTAGTGTCCTGAAACTGTTTCCAAAAATTGCAGATGACACTTAGCTTACACTGAGCTTTGTAGCCAAGTGCGCTCGTTATTGGCCTGCCTCCAATATACCGACAATTCTTCATCTCATTCCGTCATTCGCACGTTCGTGGCTACTCATTTTACCTCATACCTCGTAAAATTTACCCAGCTCTTGGGAGAAACAAGGAGAATGTCATAAGGGGCTACGAGCTGCAAGTTTTCGGCTTTGTGGTTTCTTACTGCCAACACTTTAACGTCTGACGTTCCGGTCGAGTTAATCAGTCAACTTCTAGTAGTATTTAATTGTATAGTCCTTAACGATTGCTTAACATTTAATTTAAATTCGACTGTTCAGTTCATTTGCATCATCACAATTTGTGGAAATTGTATCAGAAGAGATTGCTGTTATGTTCTAAATTCTGTTTAAATAAAAAGGGTTATTTTAACCTTCTCGAGACTTTGTCATTGTTTTCAGACATAGCGATAATTCGCTTCATGTTTGTTATAGTTATTGGACTAAATTAGCATTACCAGATCAATTATAATCCTATCAGCTAAGCAAACAATCAAATTCAAAATGATACATAAAGTGATCGGTAATACTCTTTTGATTTTAGTTTTGCATTCAGTGTCTAGCAAATGTCAGCTTAATGCAGAAAAAACAGCAAAATGTGATCGGGGGAAAAAACATTCCTTTTACAACAATGAGGATAACAAATTTCACATTCATTGCAAGTATACTGTGCATCTGCACATTAGGAATATAATTTTATGCACCATACAGAACTTTGTACCTCGTGTCGGAATACAGCCTAAGTCATTACCAACTAAATTGGAAGATTATTTTAGAGATGTTCTCGTATGAGATATGCTTGATTTTAAATGAAAATTTATCACCTAAAATTATGTTTTTACTAAATAAGTGTGATACATCTTTCATAACTGATCTTTTGTTGATTTAAGAAATTTGGGAAGCAGAAGAATCCTCATTTGAAGACAATTTGTGAAGCAACATGATGTGCATTCTTAGTAGAAAAAAATTGCTCATGAATTAAAAAGTGTTCATCTGTCAAAAGTGACTGCCACTAGAAGAACCATTTATCAAATAAATAACTATAAAATGACAGATTCTAGTTTTCATTAACTCTGAAGAAATTTGTTGATGAAACACTTATAAGTTTATTAATCGCTCAACTTCTAACTATATCCACGATTTTGCTATTAAAGAGCGATGCGTTAGTGACGCTGCATAATTTAACTTAAAGCCCCGATATTTATGATGGAGTTATGAGAGTTTCAAAAACTGAAGAATTTTTGAGCTATTGCAGAATATGGTGTAAAATGAGTGACTGGAACTAAAATAGTTTTAATTGGTTTACTATGAAAACCTGGAGTCAGTTGTGGGTAACTGAAATGTACAGTACTGCACTGCATCTCCTATTAAGAAACTCTTTGCGGCAACTTATTTAAACATGGATAACGTTATGAAAAACAAATATAGCTTCTGCAAAAAATTATTTAAGGAAGGAATATATGATCGACTCCTCAACAGTTTCTTTCTTTTCTGATATAAGTGGCTGAAGGATATGAAAATATAATGTAATATAAACTATACTGGAGAGGCATATAGGACTGTTTGAAAGGAGTTTTATTTTTAAGTTAAGAAGTAGCAGAATTTCTTGATGATCTCGAGAAGTATAGAAAAATCATCTGGTTTCCATTTTAACAAATCACTTATTTTTCTAACGAATATTTCTCTCATGTGAATCAGATGATAGAAATCAGTTTCAGGTTCTGAAATAATATCAAATTATCGCAAATCCGACGTTCACAAACCGTATAAATATTTTTAAATCCAGTTGGCAGTGGAAACGTTTTAAGTCTTCTTTTGCTTGCAGAGAATTAATGAAGATAAGTTGTAACTTAATGATTTTAACTCCCATGAGTCAATATTGAACGTGTTTCGGAAACAATTCCAAGAATGATTTTCTAATTTAAATATCATACACCACAACTGATGGTGGGCGTCATTTCAAAGTAATGAAGTGGAAAACTATACATTTGAGAACATGCGACGTACGTGAATTTATTTTCAATCAAAACTTGAGTCGAGCATTAATTTTTTAAAAATGATAACACCCCAAAATTTACTGAATTAAATAATATTAACAGATGACGTGTAGATATGTTTGTAAACAAATACATGCTGGTTGAATGAATTTTCGATTGCGAGTGCATTAAAATTGTTGCAGAGAAATTGGCTAACGCCCATCTATCAGAAACTCGTTGAAAATAACAGTACTTTCACTGAATTATTTCCTTTAATGAGCTTACTGCTTCTTAAAAATGAACACAGAGTTCTCAATAAAATGAATATATTTAAAGGTATTTAATCTAAATTAAAATTTTACATTACAAGTGTGGTATAAATATTAAATGGTTCCTTTGTTTTGACTTTGGTCCTATTATGGAGCGAAATATTATGGGAGAATGGATGATTTCCATAAAGACCTTCTTAAAGAAAACTGGTTCTGTTCATGTCACACATGCGGAAACCCGGATAAAGCCCTCTAGTAGCACGTTCGTCAAGATTTGAACACATGGAACTAACTGTATTCCACGATCTTATCCGCTCGGCCACATTTGATCCTAAAATGTTAAATATTTAACTGAAAATACATCAAATTGAAGGTTTGATTTTTATGTCTGTAATTTAACATATAATGTTTGCGTTTTTAATGAAAGAAATTGCTTAAGATCATTTGATATAACTATAATGAATATATTGATAACTCAGATATATATAATATATGTAACAAATTATTATATACACATTGGGATAATCAGCACATCCAAATAATTCCATATACATTAATAAAACTTGAATTAACTAGAACGTGTCAGAGCACTATATGTTCAGAATAAATATAATTTCAGGGCATATCTTCAGTATTGACATATCTTCAAAGTACATTGTTCGATCACTGGAGCCAGGCTGCATTTTCAATTCACGTTGTAAATGCCCACATCGGCCGTCACTGAATTAAATGAACGAAACTTCTTCTGTGTTAATGTTTAAGATAATAAATGTATTTCATGATGAAATCGATGATCTATTTAATCAAGATTTTCAAGAATCTTCTGGTTTCGGAAGTCTTTGCAAAATACCCTTGTTGCCATCCAATAATACGTAGTCACCTGAAAAACAAATTTCATTTGCATTCCGTTATTTTTATTAGTTACAAAAGACGATATTTCTAATAATTAAAACAACAGGAATGAAATCTGACCTGTTCTGAACTCTCTTGTTGCACCATGAAGCCCAGCAATGCAAGGTAGACCATATTCTCGACTAACTACAGCACCTGCATGAAAAACATTAACATTGGATCATAGAGTTTATCTTTAGTGAACATTGGATCATTGACCTTAGAGTTTATCTTTAGTGAATTCATAAATTTCTGACTGAAATTCCGCTACTAATCTCAGAAAAAATGACAATCTTTCTGATACTGTTACATTAAGTAATAATGAAAATAATGAACTGTAATAATGAAAGCTCGTATAATAGATTACATTTTCTTTTTACGTTAATGAAATCAAACAATGAATGTTCAAGTATTTTAGCATTAATGTTTAATAATACTAAAACAGTAACATATCTTAAAACTTCTTACTATATTATTTTAATATAAAGAATCTGTATGTGAATTCATCGTAAAGTGCAGAGACAAAATAATTTGCAACATGTTTCTCGAGCAATAAATTTGTAGGCCTAAAGCATTTTTTTATTTTACAAAATTGCATTTACCTTTTTTATGTTGGAACGGTCTTCTGCTGATTTTTTACAAGCAAACGAACAAATTAAAATTCTTAGAATGTTATGTTTTCAGTCATCGGATAGAATAGAGGAAATATTTTAAGCAAAGATTAAATTAAGCAAAGATTAATATTTTAAGCAAAATAATAATCTTTGCTTAATATAATATTTTAATATAATATTTTAAGCAAAGATTAAATTAAATTAAAATTTTAACTTAATTTATTAATTTTTACGACTTTTTGAAAATCATTCTGCTTTTTTATGAAGCTTTCGTGTGCATTATGTTAAAATTCCAATATTGAGAAATGCACCAGTTATAAAGTTTTTACAGGCTATAAACCTAACTCTGCGCCCTGTTTTAAAACGTTTTTCTAATATGCTACAATATGACTTTAAATCAGAAAAGGAAATTATCATTCTTTCTTTGACATCATGCGATTTCCCTTGGATACATGATTTGGAGAATATGGCATCATTATACATCACAGTATATTTTCCTAATTTCGTATATACTTATTTAGTACCTTACTTCTTTATGTAAAGTGCGTATAGAGAGAGACAGATAGATAAGTAGATAGAATTTGCATTTAGTACTCATTTTCTTTTATTTTAATCTGAAGTTTTCTTTCAGATTTATTATATAAAACATTATCAGTGGTATTTAAAATTACTTGTAAAGAAATTCGTTGCGTCATTTATAATATTTTCAATTCACACACATTTTTCTTTGCGTTTCATTTCGCTAAAATTAATATTTAAAACGAAATAAACATTTCGTTTTAAATATTAATTTTCTTAATTTCATTGTGAGATGTAATAATACATCCTAGATCAGAAAATTTAAGGTTTCCAAACATGTATCTATTATGTAGTATTCAAATTTTCATTAGTTATATAAACTCTTTTCTAAACACGAATAATCAAAATGCATTAATTAAGCGATTTCATAAAATTTTCCAACCTATCCGTTTGTGAAGCCAAACTTCAGTCTGGCATGCATAACTTGCGACACCAAACCTGAACACGCAAGTGTTTAATTTAAAAATTCATAAAAATGAGACATTCTGAAATAACTGAAAATGTGCAGAATTCAATTACCGTGTGATATTAGACCACCCAGTTCTGTGACGACTCCAACTAATGCTGGGAAATAAGGAGTCCAGCCTATATCTGTACTATAAGTCAAGAGAATCTCTCCAGGCTGAAATGAAAAGTTTTACAGTAAGTAAAAGTGAACTGAAAAACTACAGAACTGCTATTAACTTTTCCATATTCCAGTTTTAAAATGGAAATTTAAACAGAACATTACCGCTCTATAACTTTCTAAATTTGAAGCAGTGCCAAATCAGGGGGACAGAATGTAGTTAAAACTAACTGGTTCGCTACTAAGTGAGTTCTAGGAATTCTTAAGAAAGGCAAAATGAAAAGAACTTGTGGCTTCACCATGATAATACTCCATCTCATTCAGCAAAGATTTAAAATCGAATTTCTTGAGCAAAAGTATATTAAAAGAATAGAATTATCAAGCGTGCTATTTCTTCTAATTGCCTTTGCAAACATAACTGGAGTCTTGAGTAGGAACAGTGAGTTTACTAAAAACTATGTTCGTGCGTGTGGGGGTAGAAGATACGACACAAAAAGGAAGGGTTGAATTACCCTTTATTCTTCACAATTTACAGCCGTTCCCGCACTTCGGGATTCAAAGACCAGCACTTTTGCTCTCAAACGTAAAAAAATAAGAAATAAACTAACTAAACTCAGATACTTTACAAAGACTAGTAACGCGAAGATTGGACATTTAAACTTTACGTATATAGTGAGCAGATTGCGAGAAACTACAATACGTCTTCAAGTATCAAAGAGAACTAAGTTTTGGACTTAAAGGCAGACAGGAACTGACTGAAAAGCGCGCGCGAGGTAAGGTAGCGAGAAATCTCTCTCTAACTCTTGGCTAAAACTTTCACAACTGAAATACTTAACAGTTTGCATAACCAAAACTAACCTCGCTTATTCTGGCTGGAAGTGGAAAATAAGAGATGACAGCAAAGTTTTAAAATAAAATAAACGTTAGTAAATCTTACAATCCTTACAGAACATCCACCTTATTCTTCTGATCTTGCTATGTGTGATATTTGACTGTTTTTTAATCTAAAACAAAATTTACTTGACAGTCGTTTTTATTCAGAAGATGATATTGAGAAGGCTATTAAAACATATCTTTCATCCATTCAAGGAAAAGAATGGCTTGAAGTACTTAATCTTTGGAATGTTCTCCTACGAAAGAGCACTGGAGAACTCAAGTACTATGGAAACTTCTATGATTCGGTAAGTTTAACTTGTACCGTTTGGTTGTATCTCAAATATTTCAGAGTGATACTCGTATAAAGATAAGACTTCATCAAATAAAGCATATTAAAATCCATAATGATTTCTATAATAAATAACAAATGCTAGCCCTGAAATATTATTTCCGCTGTAGAAAGAAAAGGCAAGTAAAAAGACATACACAGAGACGGGAAAATATTGTACCTTTAATTTCGATGCTTCTTCTAATGTTAACGCAACTCGGACAAATCCCTTAGTGACGCCTTGGCTAACAGGTATACCTGGTGACAAAAAGAATTTTTATTAATTCTTAAAATTATTTGCTTAAAATACACTATAAATAAAAAATATTCAAGAATGAATACAAGCTAAGATATTATCTAAATGAATCTTGTAATCAGGGTATAATATACTATATAAGGAGAAAATATTCTTCTTTATATCTTGTAGAAATACCTTGTAGAAAAAGACTGGGTGAAATAAAGTCAAATATATTTGGGCTAAGATATACGAGAAAGCTTCGTGGTGCAGCAAGAGCGAGATAGTGCGTTATTCGTGAAGAAAATGTCAGAATTATCTCCCTAAGACAAAAGCGAGCATAATTCGTTACTCATCAAATATACACCTATAATAAGACTTGAATCGATATGGAAATCCTTATAATTGTAAAAAACTAAAAGAAAAATACAATCTAATTATTTGAAGCTTTCAGAAATAACTAACTTTTCTTTCAGTATGATTAAAAATCTCACCTTTCATTGAAAAACCTTCACCGCTAGATGATTCTGTTGGAGAACTGTCCAAATTTACCTGAAAATTTAGATGGTAATGAATGCAGCAATTTAAAATAAACGTTTTAATAATTAAGAAATGCATTTAAAAGCGAAATTATAAAAACCAATTTCATCAATAAATTTATTCTCTACAGTTATAAGTTACTACAATCTGATAACATCAATAAACCCACGCATTAAAATTTATTTCTAAGGGTAACACATGCAGAATACTTTTAATTAAATTTACTGTCCTATAATAATTCAAATAGGTTTGAAATACATAAGCATTATGATAATCTCCTCAAATTTAGCTTCACTATATAGAAACGAAAAGGGATAGGATAACATGGTTAACGGTAATAGAAAACAATGCTTAAATTCTTAAAGTGAGAAAATTCTCTCTTTCCTTCTCGCGCAGATACTTGTCTTATAATTAGGAAAATACGTCCTTACCCTATATTCCATTTGTACCTATGCTTATTCCACTGTCGCCAGATCAGTTTGATTAATAGTTGTATTAATGCTTCACTTCCGTTAAATATTCCAGCAATTAGATCCAACTCCAATTCATTTTCAAGCAAGAGTTTCTCTTTCTCAGTGAGAAATAACGTAACAGTTGAATTGGCAGTTCAGTGGCCGAACTGTGGGCAATATATTAACTGGCCGGCATTCGATCGCCAAACTTAATGCCGTATGATAAGTACGCCATCTTTATCGAGTAATTCCTTTTTCTTTAACGTTTTATTGAACACATTTATATCACTACAATTAAATTAAACTCCTGTTATTTCAGACTGTTTGATCAGTTTACATACCCTTAATATTAATAATAACCTTTAGATATAAGATACTACTCCACTATCAGAATAAAAAAAGTCTATACTTCTTATGCTATGGAAAAAAGGCATCAGAAAAATACAATAGTCGCAAATAGCTCTGCTGCCTGTAGCATAACAAACATGCAAAGATGTACGTTAAATTTTTAAAACAACACATCATTAAATACTTCCAAACTCTTCTTTCAATTTGAGCCATAAAAAACAATCCAGCGAAAATTTGTCTTTTGTTGCTGTTGTGTTGTGACTTGTTCTCACTTGTTTGAAGAACAAGCCCACGAAATTCATCATGGCAAGAAGTGCAAGATTGGGCCTGTCACTGGCAGGAACTTGAGTCCCATACAGGTGATGGTAATACTTTGCTGAGTTACTCCCCGAATTTTGATGGAAAGCATCCCGGAAGAACGGGTCCGAGGTTCTTACACCCCTTCTCCCCTACCAGGACCTACTTCTACCTCTCGACAGGACATTCGGCTCGCCACATATTTAGAATGTCCCCCATGCCGCACAGGTACTATACATTTACGAACATCCATACCATTCCCAGGATTCCAATCCGGGCCCGATGGTAGGGTAATCAGCGTCGCTAACCACTACTCCGGTTGGGCGGCATCTAGTCTTTTCTTCTGGCAAAGGATATTACTTACGTTGGAAGTATTCCAAAGCAGTGTTTTCTCAACAAAAATAAAAATATGTTGATGTTGTAATTTAAAATTTCATTAAATCATATTCGGATATTAATAAACATTATTATGAGATTACAGTTGTATGATTATTAATACGGCTATCCATAAGCTCTATCTTTGATAGAGCAGTATCTAACAGAACCGCCAAAAAGAAATTTCGCCAAAATATATGTTTTAAATATTTTACATCAATTATATAATAAATGAAATTCTTTGGAAGAAACTACTACTATAATGTTCAGATAGAATTCGTAATTGTCAAATTCAGTCAGTCCTACCAAATGCTTGGAAAACGTTTTCTAAGAATAATCCTAAACTTTTCAGTTTGAATGATCAATATAATCTGATCCGAGTTTAAATGAACAAACCACACAATTTAATTTTTGCAGAAAATTTTGGGTTTTACATCCCATCAAGTGTTAAGATCGTAGAATTTATCAATGATTATTAAACCATAAAAATTATGGCAGACATCTTCCTTAACACCTAACTGACGTAAATGGTTAAAACACTGTAACTGACTGAAAAAAAAAGGCGGAGAAACACTCATATGTCTCCCGTTCTATTTGGCAGACTAACAAAATTCAAGTTTGGGTTTCAGGCTTCGAAAGCGCCACTTGGGATACTGTAACGAATTTTGTATACATGTAATGGTATTTTTAAATCAATTTATTAAATTAAATTCTAATCATATTGCTTAATAATGTGTTGGCCATTCTCTACCTAAATTGCATCCCTGTTCCTAAATTTTGGCAAAATCCTTTCCTTATTATAAATTATATTAACCTGTTGGCGCCCGACAAATCGCCAAACTCATAAATCTGTCATATTACATAAAGTCCTTAAGAACACTCCTGATGAGAAGATAGCGTCACCTCGTGATTTTAATTAATATCGCTGATTGGATGAGCACCATGACGCACACATATCTATAAATAGGGCTTCTCTCCCTCGAGGTACAGAAGGAACGCTTGTGAGATAGTAGATGCTAAAATAAACGTATCACTTTATTATATTCCAAAATTTGTCTCAGTCCTGTTGCCCCGGCTGCACAATGTATGGGATTCTACATTTCATACACGTATATAATTCCAGCACTATATGTAAAATTGTAGCCGCATTTTTGCAATATAATAGAAAAGGCGTGAAGAGAGTTTGGCTCTCCGCCAAACAGGCGATGGTTTCGGCGATTAATTTTTGTCCCCAAATTTGGCGAGAAATCGCGAAACTTAGTTACCATTTGACGACATTTAGTTCGATCCCTGCATAATTGCAATCGATTCTATCCATATATAACTGTAACTGCATCCGGCCGTGTGTAACTACAACTATGTATGCAGTACAACTTTCAACAATTTCAAGAAATGAAGGTGCTGGAAATTTCTCGGTGGTCGCGGTTAAAACTATATAACTATATAACACTGGTTAAAACTATATAACACTGGCGGGAGCATGAGTTCTCAGTTCAGTTCAGGGTTGAGTTCCAATTTTATTTTAGGGTACTGAGTGATTGTTCTGCGAGCAATGAGACTTTTTTATATTTTGTTGTGTTTAAAATTCTTAGTAGTTTCAAGTGGTGGTAACTACTCTTCATTCTCTGTCATACTGAAAACAGATGCACGAGTACTTTTGTGAAAAGTTCCAGAACTGTAAAGTGTTTCTTTTGGGAAAACAAATTTTATCAAGTTGTTATGGGTTCTGTGTGTATTCAAACTTTTAAGAACCTGTACGCAAGTAACAATATTTTATGTCAGATATGGGACTGAATGCTGATGACAAGAGCGTTGGAAGAACAACTAAGGTAATTTGTGGCAGTGTTCGCCGCATTTAAAAAAAGAGACCAAAGAGCACCAAGGAAAGAGGAAAGGGGCCGTCAAGTTCGTTGATGAAGTACTGGAGACTCAGTTAAAGAGTTGAACAGCCGTTATGACTTTTCAGCTTTATTGCTTAACTGAGGGAACCATCTGCCATCCGCTACATTTATTAATGAATTTTGAAAAATATACATGAATAACAAGTACATAAAGTTGTAACATAGTAATAGCCTTAAAACAAAAAATTCGTAATTTTATAAAAGTAAAGATTAATTAAGAAATTAAAAATAATGACAATAGAGAAGTTTTAGGAAAATTTTGAAAAATCAAAAGTCAAACAGTCTTTAGTCTATAGTCAAGAGTTAATAATAAAAGGTATAGTCTGAATTTGAGGTATCTGATGAATGTAGTCTTTTAGTGTCAAATAACTGAAGTCTTTGATAATCGTAATTCTTGACAGTATTGGAGCTATGCACTGCTTGATGAAGAAGACGATGTAGAAGAAGGACTGAGAAGAGGAAAGGGAGTGATGTTGTAGACCAACAATAAAGGTAGATGGCAGTTGCTGATGATATACTATATATATGATATAGGAAATCCATGATGATGTAGATGATGGTTGAAAAAAAAGACATGATTAATTAGGATGGGTGACATACAAGTGATATGCAGGAAGATGGTAAGATAAGATATGAAGTGCTATGCAGGACGATGATAGATGATGAATGTGTTGATAAGTAACGATGACAGAAGACTGAGAAGATGGATGATGATGATAGATGATGACAGAAGACAAAGATGGATGATGATAGTTTCTTGACATTATTGCATTGCATGATGATCAAGACGATGAAGAAGAAGGACTGAAAAGATGGTGAAGGGTAGCTGGATGATGATAGATGGTAATCGTTGACAAATAATGTTGATGGGTGATGATCGTTTGAGAGAAGACAAACGTTGACAGATGATGTTGAAGGAGTATGACGATAATTAATTTTTGTGAAAGAATTAAGTAGCTTTTAGACCATCGCAATTAGTCGAAATATTATAACTGATGATTTTTAGCTTTATTTCGAAGCAAATAATTTTTAAGGAATTGTTGAAACCAAAACGTGGCTTGAAGTATATTTATAAAGTGAATATCTTTAGTTATTTCACAGTCAAACATATAATGGTAGATTGATCCTGTATTTACGCAGATGCATTGATATGTGTGATGAAGGCCAAATCTATGGAGATAGTCAATAAAAGGCCCATGTGCTGTAAGGAAGATATTTACTCATATATTTATAGATATTAGGTTTCTGGAAACTTTAGGAAAAAATTTTAAAGTTCCGCGACAGGTATTTTGCTTTTTCCAGCAATGCTGCCAGATGGAAAAAAGATCTTCTTCAAGTTTTCTCTTTAGAAGTGAAAGTGGTTTGGGAATCATAATAGATGGTAATGAAGAATCTGATGCTGCTGTTTTTGCCAAATTATTAGCTATTTCATTTCCAATGGTACAAATATGTGCTTCAGTCTATTGGAGGTGAGGAGGTGAATGAAAAGGGAAGGAAGAAAGAAGAGTAAGAATTTGTATAACTACTGGAGAGCGGCTATGAGCAACTATTGCTTAATACTAGATTCGCTGTCTGAGAATATTATGCTGCGTACTGGATGGCCTATTACAAATGCTGTTGCTTCCTTTATTGCAAGGAGTTCAGCCTGAAAGATTGAATTTGTGGAAGTGAGTCGAATGCTCTGTTGTTTAATTATAACATTATTTTGAAAGTCACAAAAGGCTGATTTAGAGCTGTCACTGTAGATTTTAAGGTCAAAATTACCTAAGTTAATGTTGCTATTAAGGAATTCGAAGTAAAAGATGAGGAATGAATGCTGAAGTCATGCAGTAATTCTTCATATTCTGACGGTTGATAAAGTTTATTGTTTAAAGAACATGAAGTGCGTAGTCTTGATCAAATACTTTAATTTTTAATTGCTTCTTTCTTCAAGGTTGGAGTAGTATAAGAGATGACTGGAAAATGAGGAGCTATAGAGTTAGTTGAAGAATCTATTTCAGCTGGGAAAAGATGCGTTAAGATCTTGAGGAAACAGCTCCCTATAATTAATTGCATATCAAATCTTAGCAATGACTGAAATCTCTTTGTTTATGATAAAATCTAAAATGCTTCTGTGTATACAATGCAACAGAAAAAATGTGTAGAGACTGAAAAATAAATGTTCTACTTTTGTCAGTACACATAGTCTCATTCATTAAGCCTTTACTTACTCATATATTTGGCGTCATTAACTGAAAACATCATATAAAAAAATATGATAGCTGTTTCAAAAAATAATTGGCGACTTCAAAATTAACATTCTAAATTTGGTAATCTGCCCCTAAATTCATCTCTTCTCACAGGTTCCAGAGTTTTCTATCATACGTAACGTTTTAATGCAGATGCCTCTTATCCAATCAAATTAATTGTAAACCAAAACTCCGAACTGAAATTTTTCCGACTCCCACCCTTCTTCCTCTGAAGATCTATGATACTTTCCCTTTTTCTCGCATAAGCTCTCCTACTAGCAAAATGCTTTTCATCTACGCTGTTGCCGCTTACTTGCTTAAAGATGACTTCGCTACTTCAAACTGCAACTTAACTGTATTCAAATATGATTAGGAAACATCTTATCTGCAAAAAGGGATGGTTTGATATACGTAAAAAAAATAAAGATTGTGATTTTTCAAGGATACGTTTTGCTAAATTGCGTCATCATGCTTTCCCACTCTGCCTACCTTCAAGACCCACTACGGTTTTCTCGGTTATCTACGCAGTATCTAAGCTGTTAAAAGTTTCCACTATTTTCATCTACGCATTTTTAAATAATTACATATATATATATAAAGAAGAATGTCTGTTTGTGTGTGTGTTTGTTTGTTCGCGATACACTCAGTCACTGATGTGCCTATCATTACCAAACATTCTGCAATTCTTTTCTAGGTCAGTTTTTTCCAAAAAAATTCAACATACATATATTTTACGCGAATTTAATGAACTTCTGGTTAAAAACTCAGCGATCTGAAAGCTTTGCATTGTCACTCTGCAAAAGCGTAGGATATATATGTTTCAAATTTAATCAGAATACTCGGCGATATAAAAACAAATTGTGTTGTCACTCGGGAAAATGCACTTATATTTATTTATTTAAAACTTAATAAAAAAAACTCAGCTATTTAAGAGAAATGTGCTGCAGTACCCAAATTAAAATATTTCAAAGTATGCAATCCTTCAGCAAAGATTAAAATATTTGATCTTTCACTCAATAACACGCAAGCATCAACATGCATGCTATTGCATCACACGCATTTTCTTTGCTTTTGAAAGTGAATTTGTAAAAGTCGTCACAAAGCGTTACTTTTGCTATGAAATCAATTATGCCACTATAGCGAAAATCGGTCGCTCGATTTGCACCTTAAGCACGACAACGGCGTGCTTACGAGAGCGGAACAGACTGAGAGACACTGAGAACCGACTGTGAGTTGCTGAGGCAGCGCAACAGATAATAATTAGAGAAGGATTAAAGCGGTATCGTACTCTCTGTTGTTAGATACATAACTCTCAAGCTAACTGGCATCGGTACACCCGCTAATATTGTACAAATCAAAGCCTTGAAAGACTAAAATACTTTTCCCTTTAAATTTTAGTCCAGAATCATTTGCAATGAAACTGAAAAATATAAGAAGTAAAATCCAATAATAACAATCAAGCAACATGCATGAATAATGGCATCTGAATGGGATATATGTAATAACTAAAATCTGAACTGGCATTTCATTGAAGTTAAATAGATTAGGAATGACTATGAATGGAAGATATCATAATATCCGTAATACAAGCTTCAACGGTCACAAATCATCCATATTGACAACATTCCAAATTCCATCATCCATATTCCAAAATTTCAGCGATTTAGGTCACTTTTACAATTCAAAGATTATTTGGAAACACAGAAACTATACCCATGGTGTTAGTTGTAAGTAATTTTGTAAGCATATCTGTAGAAACCAGATGGATGTCGTTACACGATGACGGCGAATTCAATGTAAGAAGACCATAATAATTCTGAAATTACCAAGTCCGAGGATACTTCAAAAGGGTATATTGAATTTTTAAAAGTAAATATGTTGACTTACCGGAACAGGAATTCCCTTTGAAATTTCCGGGAAAATATAACTATCCATTTCTGGATAGCGTCGTCGCCTGTGTGTCGCTCTAAAGGAAATGCAATTTTAAATTAGAATTTTCCTTAAAAGAGCATTCTTTATGTTAAATCAAGAATTAATGGTAAATGCGGTACTACAAGATGTCAAAAATGTTAAACACCCAGTGTCATTCGCAGGGTTAATCGTAATTACCTGGTTTCACTTCAAGACTATAATGAAATATACTGTCATAATGAAATAATTTATTCACGTGATACTACTTAGTAAAATTATGAATAGATTACATTTTATATTGGTCTCGAATTAAGGAAATTCCAGTTAGTTTTAATTCTGTTTCAGATATTTTAAGGGGGAAAAGTTATTCAAAATGGCCATAATATTGCTGGAAAAGAAATGTCAAAATTATGTAATTTTAACCATTTTTACCTAATCAAAAGGTTTAAGTTTTTGATTCAAAGAAAATTTATTAGATGTCATCAACATTTTATATCAATTCTATAACCAGTGTTTCCAAAATTTTATATTAAAATAATGTTTACATAAAAGGATCTTTTAGAAGCCTCTGTTCGGAAGGGTAACATTTTCGTAACTGTTAGTTACCTTTAACAGTGCTTGAAATGTTTTCCAAAATTTTAGACAATTTAGGTTTTTAGTTTTGGGCGCTCTTAATTGTTATGCGGAATTCCTTTTGATTGATTAGTCTCCTGAAAATTTAATTTTCGTTTCCCCTTGTTTTTTTATAAAGCCGGTAGATAAATATTTTGGTTTCAACGAAGTACCGTCAGAAAGAGTAATGAAAACATAGGAGCCATTAGAAAAATATGTGAAAGATATAATTTAAAATTTTAATATGGTTAATTTAAAAACAAAAATTATTTCTATTAGATTTCAAGTCTGAAATAATGCATCGCAGTTTTACACTGTTTATTTTTACATGATTTCTCAGAAAATCATTGAGCGCTTACAAATAAAATTGGATTTATTACTGATATCCAAAGAAAAAATTCATTCAGCCTCAAAGTACCATTTCTGTGTTATCTTCATATTATTTTCAGCACATTGCATAGATATGCTTAAGGATTAAAGTAAACGAAATAGAAAGTTATTAACCTTGAAATTATCTTCGCGTTTCTAGATTTTAGTAGCTCTTGAATTTCCTCGAGGGTCATAAAGTAAAGAAGTTCCTCTTCTGGTATTCTTCCTTCACAGACCATGAGACTTGCAAGCTTTTTGTACCCTTTTCTCCATGCATCTATTCCTTTGATAAGCAAAGACTGAGAGAAACAAAACAAAAAAGAAAGATCATTAGCTGATTATAAATTTTAACTTACTGGACTGCATAACTAATAATAGATTGAAGTTTTAGTTATCTATAATTTATGCCTTTAATTAGTCTTTCTGCTAATTCAAATCAATTAAAATTATTAATCAAATTCTAATTAATAAAAACTTTACGAAAAAATATGATAAAATTATATGTAATTTAAATTACAATAACTAACTCACTTCAATAAATTATTCTATGATTGCTTAGTGATTTGTTTCTGTTAATTACTCTTTCATTCTCTCTATTCAACTTCAGTGATTTACAAAGTAAAAGGCAACGAAGCTCTTGGTCTAAATATTAATCTTAAATTGATTAAAATCATCAGTAATCCTTACTTTGGAACTTTCTCTGTTTTGCACAGCATTTCTGCTTCTCGGTAAAAGGAACTTTAATATCATTCTATAAAAAACGCACTCAAGTTAGAATCTAGGAGCAGAATTTCACTATCAAAATTCGTCGGTACAAATAAAATGGAATAATGCAAATATCGTACATAAAATTTATTAATAATAATATAAATACGAACAAATTGTACCTTTCTCGGTATCCTAAGGGTATCGAAAGTTTGGATATCAGTTTATTGAAGTTGTCTGACTCTTCTTCTGTAGTATTCTTTACGTTTCCAGCAAGATTCTGAGAAAAATAACCATACACGTATCAAAGGATGAATTAACATAAGTAAAAATTAGAGTTTCAAACAGATACAAAACAGAGAAATTCTCTGCTGCACATTAGCACTTCATTCTTCCGTCAACGAAATTAATGACTAGTTTCATCAAAGAATCAACCATAATAATTCTGAACCTCATGTAGTGACACATAAGGCAAAATTCTATGTAAGTAACTGACTTAAATACAGTTTAATACCTTGATACCAAACTGAGACAATGATTTTAGGTTTAATTTTAGTTTTAAGTTATTATGTGGTTTATGCTAATCATTCTACTTTATATGTTATAAACGATTTGCACTAATCAATCATTAGAAATAGCAGTGAAGGAAAATATTCACCAGCACCACCTAAAATGTATTTAAACTAAGGTAAACAGAGCTATAAATCGGTGAACAAATCGCATTTTCGAATATATATTTTCCTGGACAAAAATGAACTACTGTAGAAACCTAATACATTTGATCATGCTGGGCATATAGATGAATCAATCTCTTTCTAAAATTGCAATCGCAGTTAAACCTATCACAGACACACCCATCAAACATTCAGTGATTAGAAGGCAGTCTCTCGTGTACTTTTGGTTTTTGCTGTCTACGATGGTTGATTAAGACTAGCTAATTTAAAGTGGCAGATCAGTTAAGATTATTACACATTACATTCCGAATCAACTTCCTGACACCAAAGGGAACGCAACTAAAGTCACAATGCTTAAAACGTTACGCACTGGAACACTTAAAAAAATAATGTCGAATAAGCTCAACAAAGATCGTTATAGAATGTTTCAACCGGAAGTAGAATTCTTATATTACTTGAGCTTTGTTGTATGAAACGAAATATAGTGGCGCGAAATTCTTATTTCATAAATAAAATATCAGTAAATTAATAAGCATTTGATATATAAAGATTGTTATATTAATATAATGCATGGATGGTGCATGCTGGGTTAAATGCAAAGGGTATGAGTTAGACAACTAGCAACAAGAATAGAAACAGTGATGGAAGGGAAGTGAGTTTGCACTTTATGTGCCTTTTAAAAGGGATGATATCTTTAAAGTTTTCCATTTCTCAGGCATACATCAAACGGCTGCAATATCTGGTAGGTTGCAATCGGCCGCCCAGACGGTATAGTGGTTAGGGGAGCTGACTACGATACCGAAAGACTCGGGTTCGAATCCCGGAGAAGGCATGGTTGTAACTGTCCGTCCCTTCATAGTAAGTAACAGTGGTCGCCTATTAGAGGCCTATATAATAAAATAAAATGGCCACCACTTCCGGCCTTAGGAGTGTCCAATGTCAAAAAAGACAAAATAGTGCCCGCCGTTAGAGAAAAAAAAAAAAAAAAAAAAAAAAGTTGCAATCTCTGAAGTTTGCGGTCGTATGGAGCCGCTTTTTGAAAAGAAACATGAAGACTCTGTGACTTTCTTTACTAGTGTACTTTTAGATACTTTTCTGTAGACCTGTCATTAGCCATGATCTAATACTCACAGGAATGAGTTCTGAAATTACCCGAAGGAAAATTTGTACCAAGAGAAAGTGGTGAACTGCAGTTGTTGGGTCGAACAGAGTTGAATGTCAGATTATTTTTCAGTGAAGATATTTATTTTCTTGTATTACTACAGCATGCTATGAAATGATAGCTTCATGGATTTCCATAGCCCTTTTTATGAAAAACTCTGTGTTATGAGTGTAGAAAACTTTCATAGATAAGAAACTTCTTATATATCCGGAAGGAGTTATCTACAGATGTTATCGAGAAGGAAAAGGAAAGCGAATGGCTGGTCTATAGAAAACTAAAGCCTCTTCTGTTGATCAAAGACTGAACATTCGGATGTTTAATTCTTTCTCAAAGTTGTATAGTAAACGTAAGAGATCAAAATTTTCTCATTTTTGCAATAATAAAGATTTTGGAAGAAGCGCTTCCTTTTCTCGTGTTATGTGAAGAAGTCCTGAAACTGAATTAGCAGCATCAATACCGGCATTGTTGCAACACCCGTGGATAGCAGTTCTTGCGGAATCAGGTAAGTTACATTTTTTGTGTTCTGAAAGTTGCTGTTGTTTCATTTTAGATGAGTATCATCTTATTTTAGAGGAGTATCATTTTTCAACTTAGAGGAGCAAGTCATTACGGAAGCAAATGCATCGTTTTAGCCACTTAGAACATAAGCGTGTGAACATAACCACTACGCTAAACATTTTTAAATAATTCTTGATAAAGAATCTTAAAATACCCTCAAGTTAGAGTTGCTTAATTTACCAAAAAAGCTACCTCTTTTGAACAAATATTTAAGTTTCTATAATATGTCAATTATTAACTTTTATATCACGCATAACATTATTTTCACAATCGATATCTCAGAGAAGAGCAAGTTCAGATTGTTTATCTTCACAGAAATACTCAGTTGGGATAGATAAAATAGGATCTTTGCTTTCGACAGAATATTTTTTTCCCATGGACTAGCTCAAAAGTTTGATCGAAAATACATGGAACGATGAACCTTTCTTAAAGTTAATGGATGAAAAAAGGGATTGAATTAAATAAATTTAGAAGCGTTTGATATTCCCATCTAAATGCAATAATAATATTTTAGGTTAATTTACTGTAAATTGCTCCCAAAAGCAAGGTAGTGACAAGAATTAAAAGTTTTTATTTTGCTCTAAAAATATAATATAAAAATACATTAAAGTTTGATCCTAAAACTAATATGTAATAAATTAATAAATAAATTCAATATGTAAATCACTTAATGTATCTATTAACATATCTCAACATGAGGCTAGAAAATTCTCTCTTTATCTGATTTCGTGATGCTCTCAACATGAAGAATAAAAAAGGTTTTACAGTATTATATATTACTCTGTACAGATAATAGTATTCAAATTTATCGATGCTGTATGCTCCTCAGCCTAAAGTTTCCAAAACCAGACACAAATTCCTTTTTATTTAATCTGAAATGCGCTGCTTTAATCAGTGAGGCCGAGTGCAAAAGTATTCGAAAGCATAAGCTTTAAAAGATTAGTTCCATCTAATACACTTATAAATTTATCGATGCAGGAGACGCGAAAAATGTACAATGACCTCTTTGAGATTCGAACCTCCGATGCTAGCTAGATATGCTATCAAGTTACATCACGAAAGCAGGCAGAAGAGAAAATATCTTAAATCAATTCGAAACCTTTAAATTTTAACTGTGCAAAAACGGTTTAGTTAATGTATACATAATCATTTATTCTTACGAAGCTCAGTGAATTTACGCATACAAAGAAAAAGTTTCTAAAGTGATAGATAGTTTTTCTCAAGTAAGCAGATATTTTAAAGGTTTAGAATAATTTTTGTTTCTGTTCTTGAAAACTTAAGCAATTATCTTACGATGCTAGTCGGTGTTTTCAAATTCCGATAAGGTTTGCTTTAATTTCTCACCCGGAATAGTTGTAATAACTAAATTTGAGACAAAATTTAAAATGAGTTAAAATTTTTTTTAACGTTCCGTTAAAAATTACACCCTGCTAATTCCTGTTGTAAAATAAGTTCTAGTTACCTATACTAGGCAATATTATACGTTTGAAGTATCATACATGTCTTGAACTATATTATATTTTATTTACCATTATTACACTACCAGCCAAGAAAACCGGCTTTTCAAGAAACTGTGTACAGTGATATCATATAAGTTTCTTTCAATTTTTAAACTTAAGTATTTCCTGAGACAGATTCAACATGTTCAGTTTATCATATTGCTGAGACGTTAATATAATTGCATTGCAACAAAAACTGAGAATAACTGATAAATAATAAGTTTGTTTCTGCAGTGGCCCACAGTGTTGACTATAAATGTTATTAAGAAAGTAATCGACATTTGTGTGCGCAGTTCATCATAAAAATGACCTAGCGAAATTTGCAACTGTATATCAACACTTGATTTTGCATGAAAATCAGAAGACGCGTAGCTGAAATTTCAGATTAAAAATGGCTGATATTGAAGATCTCATGAAAAAGAAATGTGTTTGAATGTTATGTGAAATTTAAAAAATGACAGAAAGTATGAGAAATGATTCTAGAAGCCGACAGCCGAAGCAGCAGTGACGGACGTTTATGGTTAAGATATTGCAAGATTCGACACAGTGCACCAGACAATTAAGGATGAGACTGATAGTTGAAGAATAATAGTTTAAGTGAAAAACTATAAGGCTAACTTTAACTGAAGAATGGCATATGAGAAGTTGCTATCTGCCACTAGCTGTCGTAATCTTTCTATGTGAAAGACTTTCGCCAGAAAGAAGATTATCCCCAATGTAATTCCCAATGGTTTCTCGCTATTTCTCAAACTAAAGCCTGTGCTGAAAGGCAACAATTTTCTAATACTTCTGATATCAAAGAAATGCTATACAACTTCTCAACAGCACTGTGGGAAACGAGATCCAGGCCTGCATCCAGAAAGGGATCTATTATCAGTGTTTTGGTTGGATTGGCTAGTTCTTCTTTTAGTTATATCGCTGGATTATGCCAGCTAGGTGGACCGGAGACTGCGCCTGTTAATACTAATACTAATACCTTATATACTCCTTCCCCTCATATGGCAGGCTTCGCCTGCTAGATGAGCTGAGGGCCAGTGCTTAGAACTAACCTTATATACTGACCTTTTTAAAGGGCGACTGGGGATTAGGGGACCCATTTGCCAAATCCTGGTGGAGTCATCATCCAGCACCTTTTAGTTCAGGCACCGCTGTAGAGACGTTAAGACTTTTTTTAAGCATGAAAGGTAAAAAATTAGCACCAGGGAAGTAGTTTGAAGCGAACTGCTAGTGTATAATTTGAGATGCATATTTTTAAAGGCGCGTTAAGGGAACGGAAAAGTCGCATTTTGTAATTCTGAGCATCCAAGTTGGGCGATTAGAACATTCTGTTATTTAGATGCATAAAGCTCGTATTCTAAAATTTACATAAGAATACTTTTATCTTACCTTTAAGTGAGTAATAAGAGATTCAGGATTTGTGCCCCATGTGGTTGAATGTATATCAAACTAAAAAAAAAAATAAATAAGTAAATCTTTTTAAGACCCATGAAATACTATTAACAGCAAATAATTATTCTTACATTGTGCTTAAAAGTAAATATGCCTAAGTGGAAAATTTTATGGCAGTTACTAATTTAATTGAACTAATAACACATGCGTACTAACTACTTTAAACTTACGTCTTCCTTTCGCTTTGTTTTAAACTATGTATTTCTGTTTTACTTATCTTTTCTTTCCTTTTCATTTACTTCCTTGCTCAGGATTATTTTGTAATAAATACATGGTAACATGAAAGAAGACATGGGATTGCTTCTTCTTGAATAATAAATTTAGTTCAGTTTTAGTGACTGGTTAGAATTTTTGTTTTCATAGGTAACTTCTCTACCTTTGAATCCAAATACACAAATTTAATATCGTTGAATGCGTACAGGTTCATAATAGATTGAATGCACATAGACCCAATGAGAGCTTCACAAAATTTATTTTACCAAAAGAATCACTTCACAGTTCTGGAACTTTCCACAAAAATAGTAGTACAGCTCTTCATACTGTGAAGAGCTGTACTAGTATTTTTTTTACTTAAGTACAATAAATAGTTACAATTCAAACTAAGTAAAACACAAAGCAGTGCAAAGTGCATCTAAACGGCGAAGCTGTCACAGATATCTTAGTGCTCCCAATTCTAAACTAAGAACTGAGAAACCAATGCTCTCTCCGGTCTTATAGAGTTTTCCTTCGACTGCGGAGAAATCTCTAGTGCTTCTCGATATTACTGGAAGACATTATGAGGGTTACAGCTAAATAGAGTATTAGTTACAGTTATTGAATTGCAATACCTATTACAGTTATACAGGACCGGATCAAAATGTCATCAAATGACTTTTGGTGATTTCTCGCAAAATTTAGCGACAAAAATTAGTCAACAAAACAATCATCAGCTTGGCGATATCTCCCCAATTTAGCGAGATAGCCATTTACTCAATGTTAAATAGATTTGCCCCTGTATTCTTATTTTTCTAGCAAAGCATCACTTCTCTATATTTTCATGTTACATAATAGAAAAAATATACTACAATTTTACATATACTTTCACTAAAATTGTACGTATATACATAGAAAATCCGTAATATCGTAATAAAATTCTGATTTTAATATTCGTAATAGAAGTTTTAATATCATCTCCTTCATTCTCTTTATTTTTAAGTAGATCTTTAATCTCATCATCTTTCCTGATATTCTTCAACTCATCATATTTACCTTTAATAATATAAGCCTCAATCTATTCACACCAGGCATCATATTGCTACGAAATGCCAAGCCGCGGTTCTCGCTTCCCAGCAAAGCGGGTTTAGGCTTGACAGAAATGGCAAGAAGATGCAGGGTTTTCAGATTTTGCGCGAAATCGCCCATTTGGTGACGAAACTGGCAATATGCCATAGACGGAGCGAGAACATTCTAGAAAGAATTCTTGCCGGTTTACCCTAGAATGTGCTCGAAGGCAGGTCAAAAGCTGCATAAACCCTGCCTGTTCTCAGACCAGCAGTGTATCTTCAGGGTACCATCGAGTGCACTGTGAGTTTTATCGTGGAAAGTATTTTGAGCTCCGAGAGCGATCGACCGAGTCGTACTTTAGTGCTTTGCCGTGAAGCTGTCTTCACCGTTGTAGCCTGAAGGGTATGCTGCTGATTGTTTCAGCGTGTTTGCCGTAGTTTTTCAAAGACTGTAAACGTGTTTTTGGAATTGTCCTGAGTAATACTGGATAATAAATTGTGTTTTCATTTTTTATCAAGTGTTTTCATGAATCCCTCCAAATCTACGAACCCGTAGAACGCAACAATATCAGTAACAGAAATACTATCTGCAAGTCTTTTCCAAGATATTCGTTTTCAGTTATCCTTTTGAAGTATTACGTGAAGTATTGGTGTATTTTGTAGAATCAGGTTCATCTTTATTACTATTAACATTATATATTTATTTCATCTTTATTACTATTATTATTATTACTATATATATAGTGTGTGTGTGCGTATATATATATAAATTCCAAAGCTTCCGCTTGATATTCTTTCTGCTTATTTTGGTTTTCCGATCTTGAAGTCTGAGAGTTTAGATTTTTACAATGATTTCTTAAAAGAAACATTCTCAAGTATACAATAAACTATACTTTAATAAGTATGCTTTAATCTGCATTCCTCATAATTAATCTAGTCACCAATACAGTCTCTTCAATCTTCTGCCTCCTAATTCTAAACAGCTTAAGTAGAGTACTGTAGACAACTATAATTTAATTTTGTAACTTAATGAAGTTTTATTTAGCGTAAGGATTTTCAGTTATAAAGAAAAAGTTTTTAGATTAAGTCGTTGTTTTAATACTTTAAATTAATTGGTTGGATCCTAGCAGAGCCCACACCCTTGGCGCGAATGATTTTGGTTATGGCGCGTATCGATGTGTACATGGACAAAGTCAAGGGAGTGTGCAATGCCGAGTTTTTGCAATTCTCTGATGTTTTTGTTAAGTGAAAATAGGTCGATGTGTACATGAATATCGTGTTTGTACAATTCTTTGACTTGTTATTTTCAATTTGGCGATTTTGAGAAACCCTCGAAGCAGGGCGCAATTTCACAGTTTGTCACCAAGGATGGGCTCTCCTAGGAATTTACCAATTTATTTCATACTGCTTGTTAATTTCGATTTTAGTTTAAAATTAAACTTACCTCTTTCAGACATCTATGGCCATGTTTCTGAAGGAAATCCCTAAATTTAATGCCAGCGACAGAAGGTGACGTTTCCAACCAATGTGAGATCTCCTGTTGTACAAATGATATAAAGATATACCCAGAACTATGTAAAAGGTAACAAAAAGCGAAAACTGACACATTATATATCAATTAAAATTTAAAATGGTGACAATTAAAAATGATAACTTCACCTGATTACTCATATTCTTGAAGGCTTCAGGATTTATTTCATTCGCGATGTGAAACGCCAGGTTCTATTGAAATAAAATGATGTGTTAGTACCACCGAAAGCAAAGGAATGTTTTTCATAGCATTCACTTATCAGGGTATCAAAAAATACACATTTCTGAAAAATTTAATTAAACGCAAATATTTAGGTGATTGTATAGAATGTTTATAATAAAAATTATTCGATATAATTAAACTGCAGGTTAATTTATGTGTGGTTGGCCGTAACCCTGTTTAAATATGAAAAAACATACAGATATTCAAAGTTTCAGATGATGCATGTTAATATATTACAAATATATAATATATTACAGTAAATATGTTACAAATAAACAAAGCTAAGGTGTTACCACTGAGGAAACTATTGTCTAGATATAAATTTCTTCCGATAATATTTCCGAGAAATATTGAAGCTATCATAGCGTCCATTTGAAGGTATGAAAGCTAAAGTAGCTACTATAACAACAACCACAAAAAAAAAAAAAAAAAAAAAAAAACCTCCTAAAAGCAGTATCAATACATGTTTAGTTCAAATCGTTGCAGAATAAGAACTGTTTAAAGCAATTTTTCACATGATGTGAAACAGCCAATTACCACGCGTCACTTTGGGTTACTATGTAAAGGGGTAGCTGGTTTTCCATTACAAAGACAGAAACCAACAAAAAATTTCCATTCATTATTTTGATTCCATCCATTAGTTTGATGCTAATTGAGGGAAAGGAGGAACTGGTTTTCCATTACAAAGACAGAAGCCAACAAAGAACTTCCATTCAAGTTCTTTAGTTTGATGCTGATTAAGTGAAAACGTAGAATCTTCTACATTTTACGAAAGGGAGAAAACAATGGCGTATCCTTCTTTCAGTGATAAATCCAGTAGAAAAATACACTCATGTCCATAAATTAAGGATAATGCAAAATCAGGCAAAGGAAGAGTTAGAAACAAAACAAATTTGACAGATTTGTAAAGCTTATTTATTAAACAAAAGGTAAAGAAAAGAGCAAAAAAAGATGCTATATGTTTGCTATTATTAAAAAAATAGCGATTTTTTCTCCCTGGAGCAAATTACAAAAAACACCTAGTTACAAAAAACCAATATTACATGGTTGGTATGATTGTTAATACATTGTATGTCTCCCAGACGATGCAATACAGTCCGTACAACGCCTAGGCAAGCTGAGTATCAAATTATCGATCTGATCTTGGGGGACATTACACCACTCAAAAAGCAATGCTCTCCGAAGATCTGGTAGACATGTAGGAGGAAGTTGACGGGCTTCAACTCGTCTGCCAAGCATGTCCCACACGTGCTCTACTGGATTCAAGTCCGGTGAGAATGCTGGCCAGTCCATACGGGTGATATCCTCGATTGGAGGCATTCGCTTACGATGTTTGCACGGTGAGGACGGGCGTTGTCATCCATAAACACAAATCGTGCGCCCATGGCGCCCCGAAACAAACGTACATGTTGTTCCAGAATGACGTCCCGATAGATTTGGCTTGTCATGGTTCCAACTTGAACATGCAGGTCAGTTCTGGAACCCAGAATAATTCCACCCCAAACGAGCACTCCTGCACCACCGTAACGGTGTCGTTTAATGATGTTTTCTTGGTGGTAACGGGTACCTTGAGCTCTTCATATGAAAGTCCGACGAGAATCAGACTGAAAGCTAAACCTGGAAAACATCACACAAGCCCACTGTTACGGTGTCCACAATGCATGCTCTCTACTCCAGGCTAACCGCAGGCGACAGTGAGTTGCAGTACGTGGAACGCATCTGACAGGTCTACGAGCATATAGACCAATCTGCCCTAAGCGTCTGTACGGTCTGCCTTGCAATTGTCGTACCAGTGGCTGAAGAGAGCTGACGAGACAGGTCTGAGGCTGTGCTCTACCTGTTTCTTTTGGCAGTAACTGCCAAATACCGGTCCTCATTCGTCAACTCTGGGGCGACCTGTGCTGTAACGTCTACTCACATTACCATCATCTTGGAATCGTTGCCAAAGCCTCGAGATGACACTCTGGGCAATTCCAAGTTCGTCTGATACTTCCAGTTGGGTACGCCCACATTCCAGACGGCCGATAATTCTACCACGTAAAAAATCATCCAAATGCGTCCTTTGTGTCATAACTATTCGGTTATTGCGCTGAAATGCTTATAAAGCGTCTGCGAACAATTTGACTTCTTTGCCTGTATTCCTTATATATCACTCTTACACTCTCGTCATTGTGACGTACCATCGGTGTCATCTGGTTGCTTCCTGAAATTTGCGTATGATTCTTGAAGATGTGTATAATGATTTTACCGGTGATATATTTATTTTAGAGTTCGATTTCCGCGTGACTCCGAATTATACTTAATTTATGGACATGAGTGTAGTTTAAAACAATTGTTCGTCCGAAAAAGAAGGATGTGTAATACAGCCCTTACATTTACGTTCTGCTGAATAGTTTAAGTCACCGAAGTCGAATTAAAACTCCAGCGGAAGCCTGGCTAACGTACAGTAACAGTTAGTAGGAGCCCACTCGGTAGGAATGGATCCAGATCTCACACAAGTCACAGAGACGTTAAAGACAACGTTTCCTGCTTCAGTGTGTTACCATCTCATAGACGCTCCCTGCTTTAATGTGTTCACGATGTATCAACGCATCCGATTCCCAATTTATGGAAAAAATTTAAAGTGCCTGCCTATTAACTCTATCAATGGTCGTCTAAGTGGCTGCTTTCAGGATCATTTTACATTGACGCAATAACATCGACGACCTCAATGTTATTTCTTCATTTCTGAAGAACAAGAAAGTGAAACCTAAATTTTTCCGTGGTTATATATTCTCATGTTTCTAACAAAAAAATCATATCTTCCGTCTTTACAGATGAAGAACATACTATTTAAAGTTTAAAGGTAATTAAAATGTATGTTCCTTTTCTCCTGTGGACATCATACGGGCAGTCTGTCAGACAATCCCTAAAAATTTTTGCATCGTGCATATAGAGCTCTTTTAAATGAATTTATGAAAAACATAATCGAATAAAACTTAATTTTGCCTCACTCTTCAATGGTAGATGGACAAAAATTATTTTTTCTTCGAAAAAAATTATACTCTTCATTTTTCTATGTGCCGCAAAATTTATTCTTCCTGATTTTTAACTTTCTAATATGGCATATCTTTCAAGTGTTGTTTCTTTAAAAAGTAAGGTAATATACTTTTTAAGGTATTGCAATGGAAAGTTGAATAATGGATATTTCGAGTTATACCATTATGAAATGTGAAAACAAACTGCATATAATCTTAAGTATACAATGTCATAACATTTACTTCTTTGAAGCTGGAACAATGTGTACTTAGTAATTACTTGAAGCAAACATTAAACTCTTTCTAAAATTATTCCAAGTTTAAAATCAAAAATATATTACAACATTTTTGAGTTCGTTGAAATATTCTTCATTCTGTTACATTATTCACAGCGGTAAACTGATTGTTTTCTCTTACATGAATGTTCACCACGTTCAAAAATATCTCATTCAGCAATGCAACATTTTTCAACAAATTAATGAACGTGACTTTAATGGTCAAATGTATTTAAGAATTAAGCGAAGTTTACCTTCTTTAAATTCGACAAGCTATATATTTCTTTATGGAGTCAATGATATAATTTTCTTCAGTTTATAATGTTCAAACAACAATAACGTCAGATGTAAAAGACTGGATGACCATTTTAAAATTAGGTTCTTTTTATTTGCATTATTTTAAAGAGATAATTACGGAAAGAAATGATATGCGATTCTAACTTATTATCTTATTTTTTTCAATTCATCATTTAGCTAGCAGCGTTTTTAATTAGCAGTTTTTTACGTTTTTAGATTTGAGTTCACTAAAATTTGTTATATTCTGATACCTCAATCAAACGCATTTCAGTTTTCAAACACATTTCAGCAGTGAATATTCAGAATTTATTGCGAATGAACAAAAGTTTTGCTTGAGGTATAAGATAAGGTTAAGTATATTGAAAGATAAGGTAAGTATAAATATTTCTGAGATAAGTATTCACCTGTATGGCAGATGGAACATCGGCACTTTCAACATCTTTTCCACTTGTTGCTAAAAACTGAGCAAAATCGCAGTATACGTTAGCATTCAGTTCTGAAAACGAAAAACAAAAACTAATGTGTGCACCACATGACTTCCTAGTATTGGAATATTAAATTATACGCATTTTTCTTGCATTTCATTAACTTATTGGATTGAATTAAATCTACTTCGCCGACAGCGCATACACCACAATAGAATAAATGCATTCTTTAAAATTCACTCTACTATTTGTTTACCATAGTGATACTCTGGCGCTAGATTCACTTAACAGTATTAATAATTACATAACAGTTAACTTATATAATAATTATATAACGGAAACTAAGTTAACTGTTATATAATCCAATAATTATATAACAGTTAACGTATATATTTCGTTCATATCATAACTCATAATGCACAAAGTTTATATCATTTAAAGAATAGAATTTAAAGCTAGAATGCTGCATAAAAGAAATTAAGCAAACAAAACAAAAAATAAACAGTTTTTCACAGACGATTGAGTATTTCTCATTTAATTAATTCAGTTCTCACTTCGCGAGAAGGCAAAAATACATAAAAACTGAAAATATCTATATTAAAAATTACGAAGTAAATCTGAAACACTTATTTCCTTGAAAACATTACGGAAAGAATTAAGCATGATTTAATTGGCAATAATAAATGAATGACGTTATCTTTGTTGTTGCGAAGCTAAGTTTCTGTAGATTGGCAACAAATTCACTAGTCTCCTAAGTTTCCAAATGTAAAACATCAATAGGGCCGCCATGATAAAAACATTAGGCTTAGCGGCAAATTAAACAACTTTTAAAATTGTTGATAATTCTAAAAATATTGCACATGCAGATTTGCTAAAGGCATAAAAATCCTTAACCGGATGATAAAAACAACATAATTCGATCATTTTTAAAGCAAAAAATTGTACAATTTTACAAACATATAAGAGTAAGAAACTGAGATCACTGAGCGCCGGGTAACAGAATGGATATATATATAAATATATTTATATACGTTTGGTGCGGCCGATTGCAACCAAAATACGAGGTGCACATCTACATGTTATAGCAGTTCTATATACAAAATTTCAACGTTCTGAGGCTACTCGTTTTTGAGTTATGCGAGATACGTACGTACGCACGTACGTACATACGTTCGTACAGTCGCCACGAAAAATTCTCTTCAGAATTAATTTTAAGGAAGTTTTATAATTTTTTGAAGGAAAAGAGTATTTTATTCTGTCCTTACGTACAGATATCACGCAAAATCATCGTTAAATTGCATTTGAAAGAGGTCAAAATGGGATATTTTCGTTGAAATATGCTGCCTGAAACTTTTCGCGATTACAATACTTCCTTTTTATTTCGTACAAAGAAGTAAAAATGCTAAGTAATATCTAAATTCTTCAAGTCAGTATTGTAAATAATGCTGTGCTTTTGAATGCTGTGTTTTTGCTGTACTTTTGAATGTTGTGTCAAAATAATTTTCAATAGTTTCATATGCGATTAATGCATTTTTATGTTATTCCTTTTAGATTAAATTGATTAAATTACGACATCTAAGTTCCGCGATGGTAATAACGGTGAGCATATTTTGCAACGTAAAATTTTACGGCGGGCATGAGGATTAATTTTCTGAAGTTTGTGATAAATGAACAGATGTTAATAATTCTATAATCATTCGCCGTTTGATTTTGTTTACGAAACAGTGCAATTTCTTACTGAGACCTTCATATCTTATGCCGTTAACTACATATATCGGTATTATTTGAACAGAAATTCTAAAAAACTATAGAATATGCACCTCATGTTCTGCAGTTACTAATTTCATCCGTTTAATTAATTTAAATTATTTGTTCTTATAAGTGGCACGGGAGTTCACGTGGAATGACTTTCTTTCTCAATCCTGAGCGTTGTGTTAATAAGGATTTTTTTCTTTCTTAAAAATTTCGTTTAAATGGTCGATGGACCGTATGGACGTATGGCAAGCAACAAATGCAGAAAGTTTCATTTCAAATTTATTTAAGTTCGGCAAGTTTCGAATGCAACTTTTATACTACTCTAACAGAAGAATTGTTGAGAGTTTTGCTTATATTTTAAAGAAGTACTATGCTTCATAAAAGGAACTTCAGCAAACTAGGGCTGAAAACTATCTGGAAACTACTGTATGATCTCAGGATTGCCAGATGCCAGCTTCTATGTAAGCGTATTTTTTAAAAATTTAAATTTATAAATACATTGTTTTAACATATATTTACTATGTATTACGATGTTTACGGATATTATTTTAACTAAAGCGGTATGTCATCTTAAAGGAAAGGAGCTTATATGTTTGAAGTTTACAGTTTTTTATATCTGAGTTGTATTTTATACTAATAGCTAAACAGTACCAAGGACGAAATTTCAGCATTAGATTAAGTTCTTCTGAAAGTTCTTCCGTAGAAATTATAGTTCTGAGTGAAATTATAATTCAAAGTTCTGAGCTCTTCCATAGAAATTATAATTATTATTCATGGAATTATATTTTGCCAAACACGAGCAGCGTGTTAGACTCTTTGTATTTCACTTGTCTGATAGTAACATTAGAACAAGGCCACGAATTTTATCGTAGCTAGGCAGGACTGAATTTTCTTTGGCATAAGCCTTAGGTACAGGTAACAGTACGACTTTTATTAGGTCCATTTTAGTCCGAATTTTTAAGGATAATCGCTTCGGTGGATGGCCAACGATCTCCCTCTCCTCTTTCCCTACTACCAAACTACACGAGAGGACTTTCGGCACGCCGTCTATTTTAAGAGTCCTTTCCGCAAAGACATTGTACATTACAAATATCGAATCTTCGTCGGGATTCGAACCCAGACCAAAGATAACGCCAATCGGCAACGCTAACCACTACATAGACCATTACATATTTACAACAAAGCTGTAGTGATAAATCGAAATTCAGGTATTAGAAATTATAATTGCTTTTTATCGACTCATAGCAAGTCGATAAGAAGTCTTCAGTCTTTCGCGTCATTTAACTTCAGTACTCAACTTTGGCTGTCATGATAGTAATCATTTCTCTTACAGTCACTGAAGCATTCCTTTTTTCACTCATGGGTATTATACTTTATGGTGCTATGACCAATTATAATAACAGATTTGTAACTGGACTACAATAAAACCATTTGTTTCAGTAACTACAATTTTTCTGCTTTAAAACCTTTTTTCGCATAAAATGAAACATATTTTCAAAAACAGCTTTCATAAAGGATTTTAGCAAGGCATCTTTTTATTGCATTAACCCCTCACTTTTCTAACAAGTGTTTTGCTACAAAACAGGCTTATACGAACCTATCTTCTCTCTTCTCAGTTTCGAATAAGACAGCTGCACACTTTAAATAATAGAGAGTAAGAAAATAAGAGAGATGCACTATTAAACTTTAAATTATCCTGCATCATTTTCTTGTTATATACATAAAGCTAAGTTACATATAAAAATTTCCCATACAGTAAACTGAGCAATTTTTAGATACATTTTATGTTAATACCAATGCAACAACGTTGATAAGAATGCAATTATCTGATCAGAGGACGAAATTTATTAACTTATTTTCCTGCGTGTGCTATTGTTTTTATTGTTATTTCTAAAGCCCTCAAACATAATTACAAGAAAATAAGTTACAAGGATTTGGACCAAATCTATGCTTTATTTATAAAGGAACATCGTCCAGCCTTACCTCCAGCTGCTTTACGAAGGATTGAAAGGAGAAACATGTTCCACATTGATGAGGTCTGGGAACATATCATATGGGCTTGCATAGCCTTGGAAAAAACAACAAATTATTTAACTTTTAACGAAATTCAAATTAAGGAATTTTAATTTTGATAATGTTACAACAAAGGTTCATTCTCACTATGGCAAAATGTATTGCAATAATCATAAGCAAAATTATAAAGTTTCATATTGGCAAAAAATTTGAAGACTAAAAGCTTATTCTATGGCCATTCATGAAAAGCTACTTTCCAATTATTTGGTTGCTCCAATAATCTGTTATAAATCCTTTTAAAGATCTGGGAAAAAATCGTTCTTCATTTGATTTCGAATATTGGATCTTAGCCTTGCTTATTTCACTCTTCTTCTGGGGCTCTAGCATGACAGCAAAAACGTGCCGTTTTTTGGATTCACAGCAGACACCGCTCAATTTGATGGCGATTAATATTATCATTTGTGTACTGTTATCGAAATGGCGAAGTCTCGTCCGTTTGTATACGAAAACCTAAAAACTACAACTTTTAACGTCATTAACATTTTCGATAATATGTTCAAAATATTACAGATTAAATTTTTTAAACTGAAGCAATTCTCCAGAAACTGAAGTCTCCAGAAAACACAAAATGCACTGATGCACAATGAAGTTCCAACAGCAAAAAAGAGTACTGCCAGATAAACAAAATTCGGGAGGTGTGTTTTCATATTATCAATGATCAATGATTTCGAGGATTATGTCTATTTAATTTTCGTACCAGATAAATAAGAGTAGTACTAGTAGCGTCATTATGAACATCCAAATCACGCTTGCTTTTTAATACGCGATGGTTTTTAGTATTTCATGCGCTTTATTTATTTTTCAGGTGTTGTGACGGAGATTTGAGAATGCCTTAGAAAAAAGACGAAAAAGAAAGAGACGAAGAAAGCAGTATCAGCAGCTTACTGAGTTTTAACGAGCCATGTAATAGGGCTACAAGAGGGTAGATTTTCTTTTCGCAGGATTGCAGAAAGATTTTGTAGAGTTTAGTTTATTTCGAAGAAGGATACGTGAAAAAATGTGCAGTGCCCTCACAGGGATTCAAAGCTAAAGCTCTCGAATACACGCCGAAGGTTCTACCTCGGCGCGTATTCGAGAATACCATGCTACAACGAACGCATACTAGAAGGAGAGAGAAATGCTTTATATACTTCCCCTTTTAAAGGGATTAGGGGACCTAATCGCCAAATCCTGGTGGGGACGAATTATTGTTTGTATATTCATTAGGGTATTTCGAACTAGAAGACAATCAAAATTTGCAGTGCCCTCCCCATGACTCGAACTTGGACCTGTCCAGTTATTACGCATACACCACAAAGCATGCTGAAAGGATGGAGAAAACATTTTATAACTTGATAAGGATGTATCCACTATACAAGTATTCTGGCAGCAGCGGTCATGCGTAGATACTGTTTCGAAAAGGCTGGGGTTTGGCCGAACACGTACTACCACTCAAAGATAAGACCTCCTTATTCACCACATGTCTTTGTCGCATCTCACTGCATCTGCGGAAGACACTGGATCTGCAGAATTTGACAGTGAGTTGTTACAATGATCTGTGTCACCAAAGTAACACAGCAAACTGCAACAAACCGATTACTTGAGAGAGAGCTTCTAGCCAGACCCCCCCCACCACCACCACCCATACCACTACCTCCAAAGCAAAACCTGCAGTGACTTCAGTGGTATCAAGATAAAGCTCATTAGTGGGTGGAGTGGAGGTTTCTCGCGTTCTCGGATAAGAGTGATTTCCGTCTTGGTGCCAATGATGGCCGAACTTTGGCTAGAAAGAGGCTATTGAGAGTTAGGTATTAAAGTGTCTGGGCTGCGTAGACACGTTAGACGTAGACCAGGAATTATGGTCTGGAGAGTAATATCCTATGACAATAGGAGCACTTTCTTCGTTATCCCACACACCTTGACAGCAAATTTATACACTAGATTGTTGATTACAGTGGTTGCACTGTAATTTTTGAGTAATATTCCAGGGGGCATCTTCCAACAAGATAACGCTCATACCGCTGCTGTCACTCGTCGTTCTTTACAAAGTGTTGACATGTTTTCTTGGCGTACGAAATTACCCGATCTTTCTCCCATCGAACATGAATGGACATGATTATGCGACAAATCCATCGTCATCCACAACCAGAACGGATCATTGCTGATTTGACTAAGTGCAGCAGGCATGAGACTTCATTCCAAAAATGACATACGGCATAGGCATGAGATGCGCGTTTGCATACTTGCATTTAAAACAGTGGTGACCACAGCAGTTATTAATGCCCTTCCACTTCATATTTCAAATGGCTCTTATCGCGTTTACCATGAAACAATTATCAAATAAATACAAGATAAGTGTTCTGCCTACATGTCGTCCCTTCAAACTCATTTCTGCTACGTGTTGGGATTTCACTTTCCATTAGCGTAGAATGTAAACGTTATCAAGTGACAGAGAAGTGTCCCAAGTAAACAATTAAGTCGCCAAACAGTTTGGTTTTGATTTCAGTTAACTATTTAAAATTAGGCAAAAAATCAACTTTAGCATGACGTAGATTTTGAATGACTCTATCGACTTTGAGGTCGATCAGACCCAGGTCCCTATTTTCAGGAGTAAACCCATTTCTGCAATTTTTTTTATCCTGAAAACCAAATTCGGTGAAATCATTTACCCCAAACTAATTTTGATGTTTTGCGTATTGCCAAATTTTAAAGGCATTTTTTTCCAATAAGGGATATCCTCCGAGTCTTAGAAGAATAGCAACGGTCAAGTCATTCCCAGAAACGTTATGAATAGTTCATAAATGGATTTTACATTAAATACATTGTATAAAGTTCATAAATAACATTTCCTAGTTTCCTTAATAAAATTCTGAAACCTACTTAGTTACATATTTTTAGTTATATTTATATTTAATTAGTAACATGTCATTGCTATTTTGAAAGCATTACGCATCATCACATTAAACGCCGCCTACGGTTTAATGAATGTGATTTTTGATCCAAAATATACTTTAAAATATACGCTTGGACTACCATTAGTTAGAAGTTTTACTGTGCCTTCTTATAGTTGACCGAAAGGTACTTAAAACATATTAAAAGTCACCTTTTTCTTAAAGCCCAAATTATTCAGTGTTTGCTTAGAGCATACTACTATAGCCTCTTTCTGTGATGGACGGCAAGTTAGTTAAGAATAATGAAAAATTTTAATCTGATTTTTGTGCAATTGTTGAATGATTAAATGCGTAAACAGGAGAAATTTCTGAAGGATTTCTCTCTGCACAGTGTATCGGATTCGTTCTAGATGTTCTGTTTCAAATATTAATTTTTGTATATTTTTGCCATCAAAAAAAGAGTGTTGTAATGTAACGTTAAGATATGAAAACTTTGAAACTCCTTCTCTGCAGGCAGCACGTTTACTTAACACCGATACAAACACTATTGTGTTTCACATATGCAGATGAAGGTGCAGCCCTCATTTATTTTGCTATGATTAATGTGTTCAGTAAATTAAAGAAAGCTTTTAATTTTACGAACTGGTATGAACCACAAAACCGTAAAAACCGTAAAATCTTAAATAGGAATGTCATTAAGGCATTAAAAACGTTTCAGAACCAATTGCATTGTTCATAAAAGCATATTGTTTATAAACTGGAAGATTGTAACAACTTGAATCCGCTGTCTTTCTATGCTCGTTCCAGTACATAGAGTATACGGTTCTTCAATGAAGTGCTAAATTTGCAATAGTAAAGACAGTCAAATTACTTATTATTCCGACAACTATCTAACTACGGTAATTACAATATAAAGTGAAAATTTAAAATGAAATTTAGTTATTGGTAAGTCAGTCTGCTGTTATATCAAAATTAAAAGCGTAATATCACAAAAGCATAATGATTTCTCAGCTTTCGGAAAATTCAGAGCAACAATTCAAGTTACATTTGAATGTGAAATACAGATGAAATCCTCCTAATAAATCCTGGCTCGGTCATAAGTATTTGCGAAACAAAAGCGGCATGCCCAAGCTAAAGCCCATAAATTCATTTCAAACAGCAAGGAAGTATAATACAGTAGCGGTCAGCCCATGCTGCTCTTTCTCTAAATTCAAAAACTGTGTACTTATATTTGAATTTTAAGGCCACAGACGCCTAGAGTAGGGGTGTTCTGCCGAATAGTTGGCCAAGCAAAAAAATTGTGATACTCATGGCATAATGATAACGTACCTTCTTTAATTAAAATGTGAAATTATTAATGATTATAAATGGATTTCAAGACAAAACTTACACCACAGAGATCACTGCAAGAATATAAGAGAAAATCGAAAAGATCTTTGGAATTATTAAAATTTTCAACGGGTATTCTATATCCAACGTACGCTTTCTGATATTCCTTCAACCTTTTGCTAGCAGTTGTGAGAGTCTGCAAGAGAAAATAAGCTTTCATAAAACACAGTTGAGTACCATTTTTTTCTGAAGATAAGGAACAATAAGTAAAAGCTATTCTTACTAGAAATAATTTGAAGTTTTTCGCCAAGAAAGACTGTCTTTTTTTCTTTCCATATCTTATCATTGCCATCTCGAACATATCATCATCATCAATAATTCTTCCATAAAGTCCAATCATTGCGGCTTCAACAATGCCTCTCCCTTCACTAATATGTTCCATCAGCTAAAATGGGGAAAACATCTGGAAATTTTATAACTGAAATTTGAAAATTAGAGTGATATTAAAACAGCTGTTATATTCATTTGGAATTCTGCTATATTAATGAAATGGAGCTCGAACTCTTTTGCCTCAGTTCCATGCATTTCAAATTCGATATCTCTATAGTGGTATTTCCTTATTCTTTTCGTCTGTCACCTTTAAATATATTGGAAAGACTGGATTTCTTTTGTTTTTACAGAACAGAATCGTATCAAGCAGTTATTTCTTTTATATGAACAATAATTGCGTCTCTTAATTGAAGTAAAAGTGTCATATATCCACGATACTCTAACAAAAGATCTTACTGGAATCTATTAGAATAATTTAATAGCAATAGTTTTCACTTCCATTATAATTCTTAACTGAAGAGTAATAAAAATTAATCTAAATAATTTAAAAACTATTTTAATTAGAAAATGAAAAAATAATAAATGATTTAAAAGTTTAAGAGAAATAAAGTTTATATTGTTAGAAATTGTGGGTATCAAGACACTTCATTTATTATTATTATTACTATTTCATCACATTATAAGCATCCAAAGCTTAGCCTAACTTCATATTTGGAAACATTATAAGTAGCAGATAGAAAGAAATATAGTAAATTATGATAATTAAAGATTGTTTTCTTTGAAGTAAATTAAAGTTAGAAAGAATTTACAAAAAGAATCGCATCATTTAAAACTTCTTTATTTTAAAAAGAACTGAACTTGAATTATATTCTGATATTCTGTTTTTAATCTAGTTGCTCTTAATTCTGGTGTAGTCCTTAGGATATTTCATCACCTGTCCTGGTTATGAGCCTCTATTGTGAGTTGTATAGCTAATGGCCAGTGTTAGTCTATATTCAATCTGCATAAGACTCAGATGGCTTATATACAGGAATGTGAAATTCAGTGTTTTTAAAATTATTCTCGGTTTTAAATTAACTTTTAATTTTACCTCAAATTATTTAATTTTTCAACTTTTGACATAACTGAGTGTTTTTTGAAATACCTTGAGACTTTAATTTTGTATCTAATTATATCACAAATTACTTAAGTTTCAAGGATATTCCACTTATATCAGTTTCGTGCAGTGATTGTTTGAAATGTTTTGTACTTATTCCTTTTGGTTCTATTTGGCTATATGCGTAAACAATATTTAAATTTGCATTCAGTTCTTATTTAATTGTAAATTATTACCACTAAATTACTGCATCTTTCAACTCATCATTTTGCTTTCGGTTTATTTGAAACCCATTGACTCTGAACAAGACATCATCGTCAGAGCATCTTTTGCTCGTGGAGATGGAATATTCGTATTAGTGGTCCAGGAGGAAAACATATGAGAACATATGCGAGCTTTGAAGAGATACTAAGATAATTTTATATTATTCAGTTATTGGGACCGGATTCAGATATTGACAAAAGCTGACGATTTGGCGAAAAATTCGAAACATAAAAATAATCGCTAAAATGTTTGCAATACGGTTAAGTTGAAGAAAAATTCAAGGAAAATTTTAAAAAGTAACATATCTTCCTAAGTTAATAAATTTTTTGTGTAAATTAACCAACTTGCCAAAGAAATCGGGAAAAAAATTCAGTTAGCGAATAAAGATTAATGCTGAATCATGAAACTGCAGATATCATTTAAAATGCCTGAAAACATTTGTGTTTCAGGACGCTTTTGCAGCCACATAAACGCAGTTAAATAAAAATCTAACTGCTTACGGTCAGTGCTGCGTTGACATTTATTTCGCCATTTCGCACTGACCCGTAATCTTTCCATAGTTTAGTTTACGTATGACAATCAGCATCAAGTTCGATAAAATTATATTTATAGTTTATACCGTTTCCAACAGCCTTAGTACATTAATAATGAGCTGGCTGCATGTGTGTTTTCGTGGTTTTCCCTATGTGTAACGTGTATATGAGCCAGTCTCCGTTAGAAAGTCCTCCACGAAGGCATCCCTCCCCTTAGGCAGATAGCCCTCGAGGCTTTACCATGATCATACACATGGTAAGTAAAAAAATAATAATAATAACACAAGTTACCGTCACATGTTTAGTATTTGTATTCTCGTTGCCAACTTTGAAAAAATATTCTTTTATTTTTTAAAGTAAATATTGTAATAATTTTAAAAGTAAACCTTGGCGACTTGGTATGATCCAATCTCTTGGCCAGTTTAGCCAAAAATGCGGCGACGATTCTGGTCCCGATAATGGAACAATACCGTTAATTTTGAATACTGCTTTCACTTACACAGTCAGATGAACTTATTCTTCACATTAAATTGCTTGAAATGCAGTTAAACTGTTAATATTTTTCTGTTAACTGTATAAATTATCCATTTTTTAATTTTCTTTTAGCTTCTCTCAGATTAATCATAATTCTAAGTTAACAGTGGACTTCGCTCCTTATATTATTTCGGTTAATAGTGCGTTAAATCTATTATATCACTGATAATAAATAAAAAGCTAAATAAATAAAAAGATTCTTAATGAAATCTTACTTACATCGATTGCATAGAAAACTGTATGATTGTATAGGGATGCCATTCCTTTGGGGAAATACTTACTCTTCACTGCACTTTGCCATTCAATAAATGTTCTTCTCTAGAAACAATAACAGTAATTGCTATATTATGATATTTTACAAGAAAACATGGAATTAAAATGTTTATAAATGTAAAAAACATATTTTTAGGTTAGTTAGTTCATAAGCTAGATACTAAAATGACATGATGCACATTAAAAACATTTCTGTTGAGAATATATACCGAGTCCACAAGAGCACTTGCCCTTTATTGTCCCGTACCTATACTTATATTTAGAAAAGTTTTATACTCGTTATAGGAAATCAAATACAAAATGTTCAACTCCCGTACAAGAAAAATTATTCGAGATTTTGGATATTAAATTTGAGAATTTTATTCACGGATCACACACAAATTGAAAATCTAAATATTTGCATTTGTGCACTACTAAAAACAAAACACCATTAAATATTTTTCTAATATTAAGATAAAAAGCCATCAGCGACCGAGCGACAAAAACCGTTGAACACTGGTAGTTCGATCCGGGGTGCCAGTCCCAAAGATGGACTGGCTGCGCGGACGTTTCCGTGGTTTTTTTTCCATGTGTAGAACACAAGATACGAGCCACTTTTCCTTAAATAGTGGACAGTTGTCCTTAAAAAGTCCTCCATGCGACACCCCCTTCCCTTCCATGTAGCGCCTAATGGTGGAACAAGTAATAAATAAATTCTTTTGATGATGCGATGAACATTTTTAAAGAAAGGATAAAGTTTTTACTATTCCATTGGTATATATCCGTCTGCCTGTATATACCTGTTTTCTATGCAAATTATTGTGAAAAATATTGGTCAATGTAGCTTTTTTTTTTTCTTCAAAATCGTATTTTTATTCACAGAATGTTATAGAATTCGTATTCTAGAAAACACCGGCAGGCTTTTTTATTCAAAGGTCTTCTAATATTATTTGCATTAATTAAAAATGAAAAATATTTGTACTGGAATGAATTTTTGTACAATTACCAAGCTATGATTCTAATGAAATAAAATTTCATTATAATATTAATAAGGCATTTTTAGACTTTCAAAATATAAATATTTGTGTGAAAATTCTTTCGGAATACCAGATGTAATAAAACTATAAAGATACTAAGCGCCGCCTGAGATAACCCTGACCTGACTTTGTTGTAAAAGTCTTACAGATTAATAGTCATCCAGGCAGAAGGGATTATTTCTTCCGTATAAAAATATGAATATAAATATTACATGGGCATACAAGGCCTGTGTATAAGCACAAATAATTGTATAGAATTCATGGTTCAAAAATTTGATGGTGGTTTTTAACAAATAAAAGTACAGATTAAAAATCTTCACAATACGTTTTTCCTATTTTTTTATTGGTATATATCCATCTGTATATATATCTGTATATATCTGATGATTTTTTCATCCACAATAACTCGCATAACAAACTTCCAAAAATTCCTGTTCTCCATCTTTTAGCTTTCTGCATTCATATAAAATTCCTGTTCTCCATCTTTTAGCTTTCTGCATTCATATAAATAGTTGATTACATTTTGGGTAATGTCGGACAAACGGAAGTGAGACTTTACTGAAACAGTTTTGCAACAATCAACGTAATATATTGTTGCATATATAAACCATAATATACTGTTGCAAACTAATGAGTACTGTTTACTGATATCTAAATATCGCAGAGATATACGTTTAGCTCAAAAGAATTTAGATTTATCCATACTTCAGGAATAACACAGAAGAATATTAAATTACGATTTCATTTCAAAGTATTTATTTTAAATACTGTATTATAAACATTTAATTTTGTTTAATTAAAACCGATTAAAATTCAACTACGTTATTCAACTACCCCCAAAAAGTGTTAAAAAATAAATAAAGGGACAAGCATTTGATTATGTTGGCATATATATTTAGGAAAACGTTTTTACACATACCCAAATATATCTAATAAAATATAATCTAAAATTTCATATTATAGACTATGGACCTTTTTATTTATTGGAACTGTAGAGACATTAGGTTATTTTAAGCAGGAGACGTGAAAAATGAGTAATGCCCTCACCGGGACTTCAACCTCGGAGCTCTCGAATATACGCCAAGTGTACTGGCCAATTACACCACGAAGGCATGCTAAGAAGACAGGAGAAGTACCTTATATATTCTCCCTTTTTAGAGAGCCACTGTGGATTAGGGAACCCAATCGCCAAATCCAGTGGTGGAGAATCATCATCCACAACCTTTTTTTAATTCGGGCATCAATGTAGAGACATTAGGTATTTTTGAAGCAGGAGAGATGAAAAATGAGCAATGCCCTCTCCGGGAGTCGAACCACGGATCTCTCGAATACACGCCGAGTGTGCTGACCACTACACTACGAAAGCATGCTAAGGAAGCGGGGAAAATGCCTTATTAGAATAAAAAATAGGTTTTGTTTGCAAATGAACCAGTGGGATGCGTTACATTATGTAAAGCTCGTTGCTATTTAAAATATGGAGTTATTGGAGATCATGTTAGTCACATCATATTTTTTAAAGAATACGTCTATTGGAAACTAATCCCTTCAAAGATGTCGGTTAAAACTTGTAACGGGATTTTAGGTTAAGATTCAAAAGGAACGAAAACAGTACGAAGATTCGATTCAGGATTCGATTCTCCTGTTCCTATTTTTTATGTTTATTGTGGCATCTCCACATAAATTCCCACAAATAAGAATACAATGAAGAAATTAATTTTTTTTTTTTTTTTTTTTTTTTTTTTTTTTTTTTTTGCTGGATGTTGACTTGTACCAAAAAAGACTGGAGTAGAATTTTGATTTCTCGAATTTCAGTAATTTGAAATTTTTGTTATATTGAACAGACTGTTACTCTCCTCAGACAGATGGAATGAAAAGAACACTAAAAATTTATTTTTTTCATTAAATCGAATATTTTTAACTAGAAATATTCAATAAAAAAAGAAACCTTTATTCGAATTATTAAGACGAAATTACTGCTTTTTTATTTTCTTTTTTCATAGAGTGAAAGTATAAATGATCCCTAAACAAAGGGGATTATATTTCATACATTCCGTTTTGTTGAATCTTTAATTGGGAAGTAACGTGAACTCCAATTGTCATCAGCTGTTAGAATCCAAACTAGCTATTGGGTTACAACTATGGAAACCAGGTAAAATGCAGGAGTTGCAAACTTAGGCTCAACAGGATTTTACGGCTGGTAAAAAATTAAAGCAGAAATTTTAAAGAAGTACGTGTATTGACTTTAAATCTCCCAGTTTGTTGCCCTGCATCCACATAATGTGAAGACAATTTAAAACAAGGTTTTAAAAGTGTACTTTTATGACTTTAAAAGTTCCGCCGATGACTAACAATAGCTCTCGAAACTGGTATCATCATAAAGTTAAGTCTCGAAACTTAACTTGATGATGTCATAATACCAATATGTAGAATAACATTAGCCGAAGAAATGGCAGTATTATTTGATTCCTAATGATAAAGAAACCTTTAACATATTTACTGTATTTTAAAAGTTTCAGGTATGCGCAGAAATAATAATTTCTATTTTTGTTAATTATATTATTTGAATTCGGCAAAGAACTCGAAGGCTATCTGCCTAAAGAGAGGTCAGCCTTTATGGAGGACTTAGAAAAGAAACTGGCTCGTAATCGCGTCACATATGGGGAAAGCCTACCATGCAGCCAACCTGTTTGCCTAAGCTCGAATCCGAAATGAACTAGTTAGTACTTAACCGCTCGGCCATTAATGAGTCTAAAGTTGGAGCAGGGCATCAAAAGTTAACATAAACAGACGTAAAAAGAAGCAGACAAAAAACATTATTGCAATGATGTTTTTTGTCTGTTTCTTCTTCTTTATGAACGACTTTCTTCTTTATAATAGAACGAAAAAAAAAAAAAAAAAGACATCCTATTCTAAAACATTTCTATTTATTTAATCCAGAAGGCTTATTCAAACAAGAAAGATTTTAATTACCTTAAAAACTATATTGAAAAATTTCATAAGCGTATCCATACCCAACGGTGTCATTGCTCCAGGCATGACCTCGCTGTAAAATTAAAATATAGGTTAAGTTAGGTTAGTTTTTTTTTAATTCTCATAAAGTACACGAAATCAAAAGCAAAAAAAAAAAAAAAATTAAGAAAAATAACACACAATGAAATCAGTGAAAATCTCTTATTCTATGCAAAAGCAACAACGACTTAAGACGATTATCCCAACTAGTATAACCTGTAGAAAACCGAAGCCTTCGCTAACCTGTATGATTCAAATATTTAAACGCATGTCCGTTTCCTCTACTCCCCGTCCATTAACTAGAAAGAGGTGTGAAGATTTCAAAAGACATCCTTTCTACTTCTTAACAAAGAAGCTTTCATTAGCCTTCTATGAACGACAAGCTATCTGCAATAAACTGAAACAATGCATTTGTGAGAACTGCACCTGCTATTTGATTGATACCTTAGGAAAAGGGAAGAAAACAACACCGCAATCTCGGCCGTTTCGTGTGGTTGGGGTAGATTAAATGAAAGGACATCTCTGGCGTTTTGGCCTTCAAAGGGTTAAGGTTGAGTATTTTACAGGACTTGCATGCTTAACCAATCTTAGGTCACCTTAGCATAAAAGGTACAGCGAGTTCACAAGGCAGTTTATTTTCCCCAGCTACAAACGTTTGTTAATCAGTATCTCAATCAATGCCATAACTGTCATTAGTTAAAGATGTTAGTTATAACCGCCCGGATATCTAAATACCACAAAAGCCACTTTTACAAATGAATTAATAGATATTGATTTAAGCCCATACCCATGTAGTGAAGTCAATAAAAATGCAAAGGCGGTTCCTTTAGGTTTTATTCTCACATTAGTTGCAGTTCTGAAATTAATGTGTTTTTGAAGTCTAGTATGTCTAAGGTTTTAGCATGCAGAATGTCGGTTAAATAGTAGCGTTAATGCACTTGTACAAGTGACACTTCTGGTACATTTCACACATTTTACTGCAGAACAACGGGGAATGAAAAACGTAACTCTAAAAAGCTGAAAACATATGAAAGTTTCTGAGAAATTTGAATTAAAAAAAAGATTCCGATAAAGTTATTTGAAAAGGAAAATGATGTAAAATGTGTTAAATTTTGTTGCTAAAATTTTTTTTTTCTTCCAGATGACTGGAAGAAGAGAAGTTGCTGTTTTGTATGAATATGTCAGATGAAGATTTGCAATGAGTAAAGGTGAAGACTCCCCTTAACTCTACCAAATCGTATAATATCATAAAGCTGTATAATATGTTTATAATCAAAATGAAACTAAATTAGGACTCAAATTAAATTTAAATCAACATTAAATTAAAGTAACTTACCCAACATTGCATACAGTGAAATATTCATTTTCTACACGCATTGGTGCATCAAATTCATGTTCGATTTCATAATCTGTTTCTCCTGTTCCGCTGGTAACAGGTCTGGACTAGAGAATTAAATAAATTATAAAATACAGTATTAACAGAGAAAAAATGCAAAAGAATAAATTCTACGAAGTGTTATGTTTTCGACATTTTTTTTCAGTTTAAGAAAGAGCTTTATGAGTCTAGTAAATAAGTCAACAGACAAAGGTTTGGTAACGAAGACCAAAAAACTATTCTTCAAAGAGAAAATATTCGCTGCATACTCTATTGACTATTTGGAATAAGGTTATAACACATTGTCACTCTAGACTTTATTTTTAGGAACTGTACAAGTTTTTCTTATATGCAACACGAATGAAGGCTATATCCTCTTAAGAAAATTCTCTTAAAGCTGCATAGCAGTACAGCGATATTACAAAGACCATAACTGCAATTAATGCTAACTTGTTAGAATTCCCAGGGCTGGAATTTGCTCTGAGCAGAATCACCAATTCGAGAGAGGACACTGTTCCAGGCTCTAAGAAACTGGTGTTATTAACCAAATGAGTAAACGACTGTGATTGCAATGAGATTTCTCTTTTAATTTGTAACTCAAAGCTGAAAACTGCGACTCTTCTGAGAAATAAAGCAAACTCATGATAAGGTTAGCATTAATAAGGAGAATAAGAAAAGGATTCCGAAAAAAATGCCCCTTAATGAAAATTTAACGAATTCTGTATTGAAAGATAACAGCTAGATTTTCTCATTGAAAAGAATAAACAAATTTGATATTAGTGATTCCATAGATCACTTAGATGAATTCCTTCAATTGGTTTACAGAAGCGACTGACGGTCTAGTGATTACGAAAGTAGGCGTGATTTGAATATTTCATAAAGAAGGATTCTAATCCATTATTTGTCCCATGTTATCAAAACACAAAGCTGAATCCTCTCACTGAAACATAGTTTAGGGCTGCTTATTCTTCTTTTTCCGATTTCGGATTTCTTTGTTAAGATTATTATCATCAATGAGCCATCAGGCAATTAACCATGTTTCAAGTAACCTCACTAAGAAATGTTGGTGGAAGAATGGTCCTACACTGATGCTGAGTACGTCCACAAAGTAGTCACAAACTCTAAGCATGCGGCCTCCCAAGAATTTTATGCGGTCCTTGAAGCGAATACTATATTCATAATTTTAGAGACAAAAAGATATAGACCTAGTTTATGCGAGGCTTATACTTAAAAGAAAAAAAAGGTAGGATGGTTAGGCTGTATTTGTATCTCCGTATGCTTGTACTCTCTTGTATACTTATTCTTTATTTTATTTTAATTTTATTTTGTTAAAAATGTTTAAAAAGTTTGTTAAAAATTGTTCTAGCTCGAGAGTTTCATATCAAATCAGATCAAGCATTCTTCTCCCATGAACTTTGAGTTTGAGACCAGTACATCAACACATTGTCCGATTACTTGCCATGTCAAATTCGAGCTAGCGTTTGGCTCAAGAATTAGGTTTTTAAACTTGTTTCATCTAAAAGTGACTAATATTTGTGCCCAGTAAACTTTTGGTTTAAATATCCTCCCTAATTGAAAATCAAATTTAATTTCTTACCTGGAATATATACAGATTCTTGTTCCAGAAACCCCACTCAATATCTCTGTGGGATCTGTAGTACTTTTCAATCTAAATTAAAAAAACAATACATTTTGTCAAAATATAGTTATTTGAAAGGACATTTCTGGAATGATGTTCGTAAATGTTTTTCCTCGTCTTTATTCATCACAAAAGTATGTACTTCACGATAAAAGAATAACAATTTCATTCTCAACTTTAAACTATATTGTAATAAATACTTTACATTTTGTAAACGTTACATACATGAATATAAATGAGCAAATATTCATGTATATATGTAAATATTCAATATATGCAATGCTTATATCATGTATTCATTACATAATACAACCAATTTTATGTATATATGTATACATATATACATGAATTTATTTATATTATGTAAATTATGTATTATATTGTATATTATGCTTATGTAACGCAAATTCATGAAATTCAAAAATAAGTGAAAATAATAAGCAAATTTAATGCAAGGCCATTAAATTTTTTATGTAATAGTAATAAAGACTACTATTACCTTAAGTTCAAATGTGTTTTTAATTTGTTATTATCATCAAGATATAATCTGTTCCAATGTGCCCTTAAGTACGTAATATTCTAGAATAATTAAACAGTATAAAATTTGAATTCTTGAAGTTATAAACCAGAATTATAATTAGGCAAATTAAATTCTGTGTAAATTAATATTTTTCCAATAAATGTTGAGCATAAGAAGAAAGTTAGCTCCTGAATTTTATGAGACTGTTTTAGGAGACTCTAAGAAAACGGATGTGAAGTGTTGAAACGATTTGAATAGTAGAATTGTAATTTGATAAAGTAAGAAAATAAAAATTCCAGAATTGCGTTTTGCGTTGCGTAATAGTCGTCTGCAAAAGTGAAAAATAAAAGTGGTAGAGAGCCGTAAAGGCTATGCTTAAGTTACATCTTATTGTAGGATCTAACTTGTGAAAATTAAAAACGAATTAAAAATTAAAATCAAAATTAAAAGTTAAATTATATTCTAAAATTGCTAAGTCTTTTGGAAGTTTGAAAGTCCAAGTTAGTAATTATTAGATAAATTTACGTGTGTGTGTGATTATGGCAAAACCTCGAGGGCTATCTGCCTAAGGTGAGAGATGCCTTCGTGAAGGACTTTCTAAGGGAAACTGGCTCGTATACATGTTACACATGGGGAAAAACACGAAAACGTCCATGCAGCCAGCCCGTTCGCGGGATTCGAACCTCGGACCGAACTACCAATGGTCAGCGACTTTACCGCTCGGCCGCTGGTGGGCTTAGATAAATTTATAGAAGCGTTTAACGGTATGCGGAATTGAATTTTAATAATTTGAAAAGAAATGTAGTTTTTATTTGATGGGAATATAAAAACTTGTGAAAATGAAAAAGGTGAGTAACATTAAAACGTTTTCATGTTTTCATCTATTTGGCGTATAATAGGACCAAAAAAGAGATGTCCATTTGTTAGTAACAAAGATCGAAAGACAACATACTTGCATGAATAGTTACAACTGTTATTCATTAGTAAATATCTTCTAATTTGGTTTAAGTAATTCCTATTAATAACAAGAAAAATTAATCGACCTAATGTGTAAATTCTGAGAAAGTAAGTTAATAAAATTAAGAGGAATTTTATTATTGATAAATATAACTCATTAGATATTGAATTTCTTGATGAATGTATTCAACATTAGCGCAAATATTTTTAATTCTCAGAATTTGGTAGGTAAATACATTAGCATTTTTTAAATATATTTAAATTTCATTGTATAAATTTAATGTTATGAAAGTTTATCCGGATTACTATTTCTTATAATTGCTTTGACAAACGTGTTGGAGTCCTGATTAAGAACAGGGAGTTTACTAAAAACTATGTTCCTAAAAGTGTAGAAGATACGACACGGTTTAACTACCCTTTATTCTTCATAGTTTTATAGCTGCGCTCCCGAACTTCGAGATACAAAGACCAGTACTTATGGTCCAAAACGTAAAGAACTACAAACTAACTAAATTTAAATAAGAGCTAAACTTAAATACTTTACAAATACTAGTAACGCTAAGATTGGCCTTTTAATCTTTACGTATGTAGTACGCAGAATGCGGGAAAACTACAATACGTCTTCAGTATCAAGAGGACTAAAGTTCTGGCCTTAAAGGCGGATAGCAACTGACTGAAAAGCGCCGTTAGATAAGGTAGCGAGAAGTGTCTCTCTCTCTAACTTTTTCTTGGCTTAAAGCCACAACTTAAATACTTAACAGTTTGCAAGCTCAATTTCCATACTAAAACTAACCGCGTTTATTCTGGCCGGAAGGAGAAAACAAGAGGGTACAGTAAAGTTTTAAAATAAAATAACGTTAGTAAAACTTAAAATCCTTACAAGTTAATCTAATAGTATGAAAGTAAATCTGTTATCTAAATTATCTAAATTTAATTTTTGCAAAAAAATTTAAGAATTATTCAGTATTATTACACTGCCCTCATTTTTTGTTCTCTTTTGCAGGGATAGAGGAAGGAACAGATAAATATGATATACCTATGTTACCACGAAAAACCGAAGTTAGAGAATGTCAGTTGTTTTTTTACCTATATTATTTACGTCGGTTAAAGAACGAATATTTGATTATATTCTCATACATTCGAAACAATGCTGGATATGTCGACAAGAACAGATAAGCTCTTGTTGGATTGAAAACGATAAGCAGAAAGAGAAGCGACAAAAAAAGCCAAATCGCGATTGAGGTCATGTGCCGAGAAGAAAGAGCATTTTTGATTTGTATTTTTTTTATCTTTTATCCTTCAGTTTTTTCTTTAAGCTACGTTCATTAATTGCGAGTAAACTAGAAGACAATTGTTTTTATTTTTTTCAAGAAAAGTGTCCAGATATTTCCTGAAATGGCAAAGTCCAAATCACATTATGTTTCAGCTACGCGGGACTTGACGTCGAAAGGGACAATTCTCACAATCCGAACAATTCCAGAAAACCCACTTAGCTAGGTTACCATTTTAACTTACTACAAAGACTTCAACGCCAAACACTAATCGATTATCGCTCAGATTGGGATCATGTGAGGCTTCAGATACGTATGCTTAGAGAACTGCAAGTTAAATACAAATATATTTCACATAAAGTTTAAAAAGATATCGCTGTGAAACCAATGGTCAATCCGGAGTTAAACTCCAGATTTCAGATTTACGTGATAAATCTGCAGTCATACAAGAATCAAGATCACTGATGGTGCATCACAATCTTTCTCAAGATGGTGTATCAATATCACTTAACAAAGTTTGTCTTGATACGACCTTTATAAGATCGCCGAAGAAATAGCATATCACCTCCAAATATTTTTTGCATTTGGTGCTAGGTATATTGGATTCAGGTTACTGTAGAGAACTGAGTGATCAAATCGTATTCGAACTATAAGCTATGTGGAAAGATGTTAAAATAATTCACGGAAAGCCTCGTCATTGTCGAACACAAGGCTCAGTTGAAAGGGTAAATCAGGATATACAGAATATGTTAACTACATGGATGAACAATAACGATACAAATAATTGATCAGATAGGCCAAGAACACAACATACCACGAAAGAATATGCCGAAGTTCTCTCTTTGGCATTAAACCGAAAAGAGACTTGGCATCGTCATCTTTGTCTGGCGAGTAAATGGCAAGTATTGAAACTAATAATAGTTTTGAAAATACTGTGTAGTGACCGTACAGGGCATGGCCCATATGTCCATATATGTCCTATCTTCACAGATTCGCCTAAGAGACAGTGACCAATGTATTTGTGGCAATACTGGTGACCCAGATCACTATCTGTTTGACTGCTCGCACACTGAGAATTCACATTTAAAAAGACCAACTGCAATCAACATGTCGGCATGGTTTAAGAACACAATTAAGAATAAATATGCGCTCAGCTGCATTAGAGACTGCATTACCATTGCTAAAAGCATTGCTGACAGCCTGGAGTGACTTCTTATCTTGGACACCGTGTCGTCAGCAGCCTGCTCCGTACATATATTAATTTACTTAATGTCTTGTTTTTTTGTTTTTACTGTTTTTAATTATATTTAATATTATGATTAATCCAGAACTCATTTAATGTATTCAACAATTTGTAATGTATTTGATCATCTTTACATTTGTACCTGATTATTATAGCACATCCTTAATATAACTGTATGCGTAACATGTATGATAATAGTGAAAAATGTTCCGCTTAGTCTCAGCAGTCCCCACCATGCACCTTCTTTCCATGTTCTGGTCCTTATTTCAATGTTCCTCGTTTCGTGGCCAATCCCCAGAGGACACAGTACTAAGCTCTTTATTTATATTTATTCATGTATTTATTTTTAATTCCGTCAACGGGATCCAACAGGCTGAAAAGCACCTAACCCAGTGGGCCAGTTTTTCCGTTGATGGTGAAAAGAAAAGAAAGCAGTGACCATACTTTCTTTATTCCAGAGGAAAATACTGAAGAGCAGCAGCATCCTATCGCATCTTCATATAAAGTCCTGACCGAGTAGCATAAGTTTATTTCTTTCGTTTTAGCCTCTTCTGATTTTTTCTGCTACAGGACCAAACTGATTTTCCTTCAACGCTATGTTCCTTCGGGATATCTCTCATGCTACTGGGAAGTACTGCCGCAGTGCAATAGAAACCCAGTATATTACAACTAAGTATCTAAGTTTATTTCTATAAAAAGAGCGTCCTCGAAATAGAATCTTCTATTGCATGCAACGAAAATGTTACGAAGCTCAAAAAGAAAATTTCCTATTGTTCATATTAGGGATAACGTATGAATACAAATCCCTGATATCAACTGTGGTCGCATAGATGCCCAAACTGTATTGGCGGCAATTGATAGGCTGACAAAAATAGTCAGCAGAATTTGACCCTTAATCCGTTCGCAATTTGTAAAGAAAAGTTACTTTCCATAGATGAATTTTTTTTTTATCAAGAATGTCATCGAGAGAAGTAGTTGCAACTAATTCGAAAAGTGAAGGGTAAGGCTATACACACTGTAATTGCAAAAAAGAAGAGTTTCTCAACTAAATGCAGTTGTAAAAGCAAGAGACGCTTGTGAATTCAAAGCGTCATAACAGTTACAGTTGTTGCAATAAATAAGATTATATAACAGTAACCACATAATGAATGTTTAGGTTTAATACTGACATTATTTTTTCTGATTTAGAACGTACTATTCGTTTCAGATTTAATAATTTATTTACATATGCTGTTACTCAAGCTTTCTCCTATTTTAAGATATATCCAAATATTCTTTGATAATAAAGTATGATTCAAATAGTTGCATTTTTGTCTTATAATAACAAAAATATTTTTATTCGTCATAAACCATCACAGTATATACTTAATGTCGACATTTGCCGGTGTAAATTAGAATGAATGATATTTAGCAAATATTTCGAACATTCATCCAGCGGTTATCTGAATGCTGACATTCCTCGCAGAATATCGACATTTGCCAGATATCGGTATTGCACGGTAATATATATATATATAAGCTCTCTAATCATTTTTCATTTTTTTATTCAATGAACTTGAATACTAACTCATTTATTCGAGATAACCGGATGAGCAGAATTCAAAAATGAACGAAGAAGAATATAAAAATTTTACAAATAAAGGAAATTTATTGCAGTGAAATGATGTTTTTCCCACAAATATTGGTCAGGTACGACATTTTTTTATAATTAAGAAAAATTCACCTTTAAAACACATTCATAAAAGGTAATTACACGATTGCTCATATGATATACCAAAGAAACAAAATCTAGCGGAAAGCATGGTAGTTTCTATAGATTTAATTTATTTTTATAATCTGCATTGAGTTGAATGATAGATTTTTGCTACAATGTCAATTTTAACAGAGAAATCCTTGTTTGTAAAGCTTTTTCCCTCTATCAACTATGAATCAGCATCTAAAGTTTTGGAAAATGTTCTGTAGCAGAAAAATATGACAGAAAAAATCTGATTGTATGGAAGATTATGAGCGAAAAGGGATGGAGCCAAAACAGAGGCATCTGAAATGTATAAAGCAGCATTTCAGAGATGTACAAAAATAGCTATGCTTATACATAGACAAAAAAGTTGAATATTCCATTATCCCAGGTAAAGCATATTCTTTATTGTATTTTTCATGCTTATTCTTGTAAATTTCAATAGCTCTATTAAATTATATATGTAGATACTGCATAGAAGAAAATTATAATTTTGTTAAAAATTTCACAGAAAGCAGAACTGTGGACAAAAGAATCGCATTTTTCATTGCATAGAAATGTCAGCTTATGTATCTCTGGCATATCGGACATCACTGTCGTAAATGGGCGACTCATTTAAACGCACGTACAGTGTGGTTCCTTCACTCAAACATGACTGATAGTTCGGTGTAGTTTCACTATTTCTTCATCTTTTTCTCTGGAGGGGACTCTTTTAAATTTAATACATTTTCCAAAATTTAGCTGGGGCACTTGTGCAACGAAAGAGTAATTTCTTTTTCAGATTATCCTTTCCGTAACTTATGCAGTCTCTGTTAGAACTAAATGTGCTGCTTAAAATCGCATTTGTGCTGAATAGGGCATCAGCTCATATCAAGTCTATATGTCTGAAAAAATGGTCTGTGAAAATAAAGCTGAGCAAGTATTTTAATGTCCATTGTCCCGTTCGGTTTACAGATTTGACCCCAGTTTACTCGTGATTGTGAGGAGATATATGAAGTCTAAAATTTAATAAGAAAACTTTGTCTCATTATACGATTATGCTATTGAGCATTTCTGATACTACCAAATTTGAATTACCAAACTATCAAAGTAACCATAAAAGAAGTAATATAAAAAATGTAAAGTCAATTTACATTCAATTCCTACTTAGGTCAACAAAGAAAACTGTTTAATAAATACATCAGCCTCACGATCAAACAAACGATGTTCAACATAAAAAAAGCTCCGTTAGCTTGTGAACATACAGACTGCTTTTAACTCAAGTTCATGCGAAATCAAATGTAGACTATAAAAATTTAAACAAATCCTAGCCTTTCCTATAAATATCCTTTCTTTTATTCCAAAATGTTCCATTTCTCTTTCGAACAATCATAATAAATATCCTTGATTTACCAATAGGAATGCTTTTTGAGCTTGAACATCCGAGCGCATCCCCGGCATTATTCAGAGCAGCTTCTTTGACTAACACATCGGCCCTCTCGTTGAATATAATACCAACATGGGCTTTCATCCAGTTCATTTCACTTCATATATTTCTTCAACTTTTACAAAGAGATCTTTTATTTGTGGGACCCAACTATTAGTATTATCAGCAAGCAGCATATGCTAGTGCTTCCAAACCAGAAAGGACGTCTATATATGTATATATATATATTTAAAACAAATTTAAATTCTTAACAAATACGTATAAAAGTAAAAAAGTAAAAAAGCAAATTTAAATTCTAAAGAAAAAGAAAAAAGCCAAAATAATTTAAAATAATTTAAAAATATGCAAACATGTAAAAGATTTAATTCTCGAACTAATCTACAATATCATTTAAATTCAGAAGCATAAGCAAATCAAGTGCAAAATCTATCCATGAAATCCATGAATCTTCTAATTTAATAATTTAAAATTAAATTTTAAACATTTTAAATAATTTATAAAAATGCATAAGTGAATGATTCGTATAGTAGGCAGGCAGGATACAGACTTATCAAGGGGAGGTTGCCTTCCGAACCTAACTCTTCCAATTCATTCAAGTCGTGTTTTCGTCATTCCATGTAGGCAAAGGGTAAAAAGGTCAAAACCCAAAAGTAATTCCAATAAAGTGGTACCCTTAGAAATTAACATTTAAGTATAACATCTAAGAATTAAAGTTCAAAAAGGAAAATACGAATTAAGTCTTTTGAGAAACAAGCAAGTAAAGTCAAGAATTAAACTTTTTCTTAAAAAATTAAATTTTTTAAAAATTAATTCCTTAAAAAATAAAAAAATCTAGAAACCAATGTATTTTAGAAATCCTTGTCTACAGAAACTTCCCCTACTCGAATATGCATATCTATAAAAGAGCTATACATAATCCATATAAATCAATAAGAAATAAAAAACAAAAAGAAACAAAAAGAACTAATTCACAATTTTTAACAATAAATATATATTTAAAAATATAATTTCATATTTAGAAAATACTTAGATACTACATAAAAAATTTTTAAAAAAATACTTAAAGCAAGTAAATAGTAAGTTTTAATTCTAACTTACCTACTATGTGAGTGTTGGGGTCTGAAAAGTTGTTGTGAAGAGAAGTAAGTGTGTTCTTCAAATTAATTAGATGGCGCTTATGTAGGTAAAGTTGAGTGTGAAGCTGCTATCTTTGTTATAGTAAAAAATTTTTGTAAATATTAATATTAATTAAATTAAATTAAATTAAAATTCCTAAAGGTAGAAATATCAATTATTAGGGAGTTAAGTAACTGAGCCAATCAGAGATGTATGTTTGCTTGGAAGGAAATTAAATTAAAGTGAAGTGGTATGTGAAAAAATGTAAACTGTTTGTAATTTGAAATGTGTGTTGTTGAAAAATTGTGAAAATTGTTAAAAAATTAAGTGAAAGATTTTGTGTGAAAATTGCAAAAATTAAAGTAATTAATAAAAAACTGAAATGTTTTAATATTAAAGTTTTAAAGTAAAATTTCCCAAAATTTTTTGAAATGAAGTCCTTAAATAACCTTTAAAAATTACCAGAAAATTTCTCAAAATTTCTTTAGGAAGTTAAATAAAATTAAATTTGATGAAAAAAAATATTAAAAGTTTAATGAACTTGATTTAATTGGTATTCAAAACTTAACTAATACTGCTAAAGTATGGAAAATTAAAGAAGAGATATATATATATATATATATATATATATATATACATATCATATATGTAAATATATAGACGTATATATATATATTATAGACTACTATATATGTAATACTATATACTATATATATAATGTGTATGATCTTAAATTCCCTTAGTTGCGAAATCAAGTTATTCTACTACTATATTACTTGCTTTTAATTTCTACTTCTATATTACTTGCTTTTAATAATTACTTGCTTTTAATTTAATTTCTTTTTACAAATTGAAATTTTGTTATTCATGATTTAATTCAAGTCCCCGTCAAACATTCTTAACAATTTACATTCAAGTTACTTTAAAACAATTTTCGGAATTAAACTTACTAACTATGATTTCACTCTTTTTAGATAATTCTACTAAAATTAATCTTAGGAGATAATATAATCAATATTTCTTTAGTAAATAAATTATTATACTATATATATATATATATATACAGAAAGAAAGAATGGAAAATCAGAGACAAAATGTCTGCGCAGGAGAATAGGATATATTTACAGATGGTCCAGGTTTCGGCAACGGAATTGGTGATCTGTGGTATAAAAATTCACTAATTAAAATTAGGCTTGAATCTTACAAATTGGCAAAATTGGGCTTGAATCTTGCAAATTGGTTTATCAACCCAAACTGGTTGCTATCATATTTACGTTTAAATGGATTTAAACCTGACTGTAAACACATATATAGTATATCTGTGTGGTGTTTTAATCAGATAATCGACCATTAAAAGCAGGGTAGATAATATGGAAGCAGTGAGATGCGTAAATATTTCAAGATATACTTTCTATGTGTTATGGAAATAATTTCAGAACTCTAGACTAAAAAGGCCTTGGCTCAAGATCGTAAACGAATAGCAGCTACTTCTTTATATTAATGTTTTGGATGCCCATCTAATCCATAGGAATTCTACTGCTCAGCAGTTAAGTTCAGAGCTTGCAGCCGCCACTGGAACAGTTGTATCACAACAAACTGTATATAGAAGATTTGATAAAAAAAGGCCTTTATAACCAAAAAGCCAGCAGTATATGTTTCACAGTTTTCATAATAAAAGAAGGATTGCTTTAATTGGTGCAAAGAACATCAGAATGGAGTGAATACCAATGATCTCATGTCATGCGTTTTTTACTGATGAGTCAAGGTTTAATTTAACATCTGATTCTAAATGTGTTTACATCTGAAGTTAGTCAGGAACGTGAAATCCTCCACTGAGCATTATGGAAAGTGACGATTTGACATTTTAAGTAGGTTTACCCCATAATTTATATGAGAAGAAACTCTCAGACTTAAAGAATTAAGACTCAAGAACATATTTCTGAAATTAAACTAATTATTATTATTAAATTATACTTTTATTTGAAAGTGTTGCGTTGATAAGGGATTAAGTATTCCCATATTTTGTTGATTTAGCTTTTTTTTAACCTTAAGCAATATTTTTAAAAATATAGGCAATCTAAAGGGAAATATGTCTTGGATGTCTTACTTTTATCGCCAATCGGCCAAGTTTCAAAACCATTTCATCGGACAAACAGCAAGCCTGTCTTTCATTTTCAGGTACATCTTCTGTCTGTGTGCCTTCATCATCTATGGGAAAAATTGATTAAAAAGAAAATTAAACATATTTTTCCATAGAGGGTTACAGAAGAGGATTATAAATTTGTAGAGGGATATATAGGCAATAAAAGTTAATTTGTTCTGTGCTTTCTTTGTTGTGTAAAGTAGCAACAGTTAAAGAAAAGTAGTCACATCTGAAAAATGTAGATATGTAAAATGTACAAAAATAGTATAGAAGTAATTATTTAATTGCTTACTAAACTGCAGAGCTTAAAACACAAGACGGACTAAAAGTTTTGAAAGCTAAAATGAAAAGAACTTGAAAAGGAATGTCTAATGAAAGTAATATTTATTATTCTGTAACTTAGGGAGTAAAATAAACGAGTACAGACTTAGGTTGTCAATAAATAAGCTAAAAATCGTAACAAAAATGAAACTGCATAAAATACTTATATTGCAACCAGTTATATTTTTCCAGGCTGTCCCTGCTCCATACTGAGACTCGTATTCGATCGAATTATTAAAGTCACATAATTTACTGCATTCAAGCCTTTGGATGTTTAACACAGTAGAGTAGGGATCTCTTATTCAATGTTCAATGATTATCATTCAATGTTCAAGTAAAAAACATTCTGAACAATTTTTCTATTAGACTTTGTTGCGATTTTATATTATATATTGGAGTTATTTCTTCCATATGTATTATTCTATTTTACCTTCCACATTTATAGAGTCATTAAGTTTAATTTGGAGCAGGAACTGATAAAACCTCGATGCCCTCACTGGAACTGAACTCACATCCTCCCGACTGCCAGCGGGATATACTACCAATTACACTGAGATTCTAACCAAGGCATGCGGTAAGGAAGGATGCAGTTCCTTACATTCTGTTACCACCTTTACCAACACTTAAAGGAAGTCTGGGAAGGCGGAGACCCAGTCATCAAATCTAAGGGGTGATGAATTATCGTCCACCACACTTTTGTTTGAGCGCAATTTATACAGTCATTAGGGTTATTTTGAAGCAAGAAACATTTCAACATTATATGTTCTACTCTTGTTTATCTTAAGAATTATACATAGAACAGGGTTAAAATGTAATTTGCAGCCTTTGAGTAATCTGAGAGATTTCAGATATTATTTTAAGCTGATAGATATGGGCATAAGAAACAATGAAATATGTGATAGGGTAGAGTTAAACATATAGTTAGGCTGATAGTTTGGCTTACTAGAGGTATCTTTTAAAAGTGAAGTTTATGTTGCAATTTTCCACTTACTTTTTTTGATAAAAGAAATATAAACATTACATGATACATTACATATAAAGATGAGTCATAATGATCTCGAAAAACTAACAATGTTAATGTATCTTAATGGGAGAACACAAGTTCACATTTTAATGATTATAAAACAAGAAGTATTCAAAGTTATTTTTTTCATATCCTACAGGTTAATTTCACTGACTCCTATCATGGCACAAGAGGTATCTATTCTCTAATTCCATTTGGTTTCAGTGCAAGTATATGATACTTAGTTGTTAAATCAAATAAATAAATTACGAATCACCAATAATTTCAGATATAGTCAGCAGATTCACAGTTGATTAAATGTTTTAGAAGAACATTTTAAAAATTCATTTCCTCTGTTCACCAATTTTAATTAATTGGAGTTTATAATTGCAGTTACAAGTTTATAAGAGTATCCTTACCTTTTATAATTATTCGTCGACTTTTTGATCCAATGCTTTTGTTTTTTACAACCAGATTATCATCAGCATCTCTCTGAAGCTCGATCGTATCAGGCTCTTCTGAACCAGATACCACAGACTGTCGGGATTATTCATAAAAAATAAAATTAATTTTAGAGAAACCAAACTTGGATTTCATAAAATGTCTCAACTATAAGAAATTATTCATTTTATTCATTAATTGATCTTAATTTAATTTATTGAAGAGTTATATGCAATATGAAGGATGGTTTTGACAAAATGTTGGTTATTCGTTTTATTAAACTTCAAATTTTATTGAAATCAGGATAGTGTTCTTATAAAATGTTATGAAACTTGTAGAGACATTAGGTATTTTTGGAAGCAGAAGAATTGAAAAGTTAGCAAACGCCTTCTCCAGGAATCGAACCAGGACCTCTGAAATACCGGCCCAGCGTGCAGAACCACTACACCACGAAGGCACGCTAGGAAGGCGGGAGAAATATCGTACATACTCCCCCTTTTAAAGGGCGACTGGGGTTTTTAGGGAACACATCGCCAATCCAGGTGTGGAACGTCATCATCCACAACTTTTAAGTTCGGACCCATGAGGCATCGGTATATTTTGGAAGCAGCAAGAAAAATAGCAAACGCTTTCGCCGGGAATCGAACAACGGACCTCTGGAATACCGGTTCAGCGTGCAGAACCACTACACCACGAAGGCAGGCTAGGAAGTTGGGAGAAATACCTTATAAACTGACATACTTTATTTATGTAAAACTGGGGAAAAGCAATTTTTAAGTTAAATACGACGAGCAAATATTATTCACAAACAAAATCATTTACGTAATATTATACCAAATAAAATAGTTAATTGCTTGCAGTTACTGAATTATTTATTATGTACAATTTATATCTTTAACTTCGGAAGGGAAGAAAAGCTATTAAATAACGGTATAAGTACTAAGGTGCTCAACTCAGAGGTTTATGTTTTGAGCAATTTGTGAAAACTGCTAAAAATTCTGCTTATATTAGAAGTTGCTTGCGATGTTTCCTCTTTATGTAAAGCAACTAGAAATAAGCTTTCTTTACATTTTCCTTCTCTAAAATAGAGAGGTGTTCGATTTAAAAGTAATCCCTTAATAAAAATAATAAGTTTCATAATAATAAATGTCTGTGAGACACATACTGCCTACAGTATATATTTGAAATAACGTCCTTTCATTTTCAATGCATTTTCCGTTTCCTATTAGCCCTACGAGACTTTTCTTTTATCAACACCCTGAATAGTAGCTGTGATGTTCATTTTCAACTCTTTCGAATCGCTGTGGTTTATTAATAGAGTTGGTTTTAAATGTTCCAACAAAAAGTAATCTCTATTGGTATTTATTTATACATTTATTATATATATAAATTTATATGTAAATAATCATATAAATAATAAATCATTTTTATATATAAATACTATATATTTATGAACTATTTCAGTCAGAGACACTAAAATATCATTTGACACGTAAGCTGGGAGCGGGGAAATAAGTCAAAAGAATGTTCAAAACCCCTGCTAAAAGCATTCCTGAATGCTTTCTATAATCTGCATGAAGTCCTTTTTTGAAAGTGGACGTGACATTGGGCCGCTTATTCACGCAAAATTCAAGCTCTAAAACTTGCCATGATGTTGAATAAAGTATTTCAAAATAAATAAATAATAAGGAATTATTCTTACTTCACCTAGTCCGTAGTTCGCTGTAATGCTCATACGAGCGGTATTGCCTGTAAGGGGATCACAAGTGAACAAGACCCCAGCCACATCGCAAGGTACCATTTCTTGAATCACCACTGCCATTGGAGAGTTGATCATCTGCCCATTCTGCCTGCAGTATTTTAAAATGGTTTTGTCAAAACTTAAGTTCACCACCCTGAAACAATTTTACATTATTTTGTTCTTAAGTGTTTCATGAAGGTGAGCGTTTTTTTAATCTTTTCAAAATTTTGACAAGTTAGAAATCATCACTTATTGCTTGAACATTTTTCGACTTATTTGCTTGGAAGTGGAACATCATGTAGTTTGATGAAATGTTTTGTAAGGTATGTATGGTTTTAAGGTGCGGTTGTATTTTATGCTTCTTTACTATGTCCTTTCGTGGTGTCATTGTAAAGAATATCAGGCTAGCAACTAGGAGATCCGGAGAGTCTCGAGTCTCAGAGACAGCATGACATTTTCACTTTTTTCTACTTCGGAATCTTCTGTCTAATGATAGCATCTACCGTTTACTTTGGGTTAAGCCGCCCAGCCGGGATACTGGTTAGCGCCGCTGACTGCTGTAACGAAGGGCCTGGGTTCAAATTTCGGAGAAGGCATGGATGTTTATAAAAGTAAAGTGTCTATGCATCATGGGGGCACTCTAAATATGCTGCGAGACAGAAGTCCACTCGAAAGGTTGATAGTAGGGAAAGAGGGGTGGGAGAACATCGAAAACGTCGTCCCGGGGTGCTCTTCATCAAAATCGGGGCCAGAACTGAGCAAAGTAGTACTGTCACCTGAGTGGTGTTCAAAGCTCTTGCCAACGACAGGCGCAATCTTGCACTCCTTACCACGATGAATTTCGTAGGCTCGTGCTGATGTTACTGTCAGACAAGTGAGATGTGTCACAATTTTTAAAATTGAATTCATCTGTTACCTAAGTTGCATCAACGTAAGTGCTTGGTTGATCTGCCAAGCACAAGACGTGAGTTTATGTTCCAATTCTGATTTAATAAAAATCTTTCTGATTTAATAAAAATCTTTCTTAAGACTCTGTAGTTCTATTCAAATATATCAATAATTTGCTGTACATCTATTAAGAGTTTGACACCAGTTTACGTTACCAAAGCCAAACAAACTCTATGAGGTACATCAAGTGAGATAAGTCACAACACGTTCTGGGTTAAAACAAATTTGCTCTAAACAGAAAAGAGTGATTTTTCAGAGACATACGCTACCAGACTGTGGAGCCAAATTCACAATTCACTAAGGTTCGTCATATCGCGCTCATCCGAATCTCATCTACGTAGTAACAAACATCTCATAGTAACAAATCGGATTAGTAAGAGAAGAGGAGTAGGGGAATCTTGGATTCAAAGTTCAATCGGAGATCAGATATTTTTAATAGATTTTTGAAATTAATAGTTGCTGAAGAAATTCGTCATTTGTGCATGAAACCTGACATACTAGAGTAGTCACATACCGTTTTTGATAAGATTTATCTTTCTCAAGATCTCGAAGAAAACATTTTCAAGGTATTTCGCATTCTGGTTTCCTTATCTGATATCTTTACTCTTAAATATAATCATAATAATTTTATCGTATTTTTGAGCTTTGCCATTATCATAAGATACAATAAGAGATTTTGCCTTCTATGTTTTAGTTACTGGAGGACTTATTATTTAACTTAGGGAGAGAGGGTTGTTATCGCAACTGCGCAGTCTAAATTTTTTTAAGTATTATACTAAAATCTCTCCACCAAGATTAGATTGAAATCTCTTTTTAAGCTTTAGATTTTTGGGTTTTTTAATTTCCTAATTTTTTAATGGTAAACTCTGTAAGATATCTTAATAATTTGGGATATCTTTTGCATCTATAAATCGGATTTTATTCACAACTTTGTTGTTTGTTATAAGAGCAAAGTTTCTAAATTATTTCTAAATACTAACTATATAATCGAACTTTGTTAAGCCGACACTAAGGATTTTAATTTTTAAACCCAAAAAATTCGATTTAACAAAATATGTTAATTTGAAATTCCGTGCTTCGACATTTAGTTCAGCTTTCCGAAGTTCTGTTCTAATAATAACACTGCCATTCATATTTGATTTAGCAGTTTAGATAAATAGGTATTATACGACCAAATTTTTAATAAGAAATTAGCTAAAGTTATAAAAAAAAATTAAAAAAACAAGTGATTTAACATATGACGATAAAATAAAATATTGCTAGCAAATTATCTTCAACAAACAGATCAATGATTTTTTACCTTTTGTAGTGCACTGCGATGAAACTAAATTGGGATGCCCAACATTTCTTCACAGCAGAAAGAATCTTAAAATAAATATTAATTTATCAATTTTGATACATTTTGCATAATCTGTCTTCATTATTTTTAGCATTAGCATTTTCCGTTCAAAGCACTGCACTTATTCTACAAAATATTAATATTTTTAATAAATGAATACAGTTAATTCAAATAAATATTTTATTTATTAAAAGAGCTTAATTTGCTGATTACATTTCTGTGGCTTTAATAAAAGTCCCGCTGCATATACTTTTACATGTTGCTATTGTAAATATAAAATATGACTATAGGTATCAATTAATACAGCCGTTATGCTGAGAATTTCCATAATAATCACCCACGTAAGCCCTCTGTATACACAATGCCACTTATTATTATATACCTTTGAATGTAAACGTTATTTTTTCTGTGATCACTTAACAGCAAGAATTTGTCTATCTGTAGAACATTCCTTAAACTTTTTATCTGCCCGAAAATTTAAAATGAACATATTTTCTGTTATTTAACAACATGCTTAATTTTACTTGGCATAGAAAGAAAACAAACGATCCAATAAATTGGAGTTTCAGATTTCTAAATTCCAAGTAATTATGCTTTTGAATATCTGAAGTCCGATAACTAGAGTTATCTAAATTCCACATAACTGGAGTTCTGTGGCTCAATTATTGCACAGAACTAGCTAAAGAAGTCGATTGGTTTAAGTAACTTTTCCTTAAATTGGTTTAAATAACTCGTCCTTATAATATAAATAGGAAACACACTGAATGCAATCTCTCTGTATCATTCGATCAGAACTTTAAAGTTTATTAATAAGTTTATTACTTATGTGACTATTGGTTAATATGTGTTAAACAGCGACAAAAAATATTCAGGTTTTCGTCTTTATTTGAATTTTAATTATAGAGATATTTAAAAGCCTTTAATAGAAAATAGCATGAACATTTGTTTTAAAGTGTTGATAACAGCTAAAAAAATCAGGTCTAACCCCAATAAAATGAAAATCTATTTATGTAATGATACAGAAAGACAGTTATTGAAGACAATCCTGTCTTAGCAAGATTGTAGATACTATGAATATGCTGCAAGCGTTGAACTTTCGAACATCCAGTAAAAATACAACATTTTTTTTTTAATATTAAGCGAGATAACGCTTCCAATCAAATGGGGAAATATGGTCTTAAACCATCGATTCTCAAACCAAGGAATCAGAGGTCTTTTGCCATTGATTTTTGAAGTAAGGAAGAATGTGTTCCATCATTAAAAATGGTTTGGTTTATGTTATTACGACAAAGCCTCAAGGGCTATCTGCCTAAGAGGAGGTATGCATTCGTGGAAGACTCTCTGAGGGAAACTGGCTCGTATATACGTCACACAGGGAGAAAACCACGAAGGCGCCCATGCAGCCAGCCCGTTCGCGGGATTCGAACCTCGGACCTAATTACCGGTGTTCAGTGACTTTACCGCTCGGCTGCTGCTGGGCCCATTAAAAAAGAAATATAGCGAATAGCTTGCAGACGTGCATACTGTACTTCAGTTAGGATTGCTTTAATAATTTACGCACAAACATATGTGAGGTTTCCTTTTAGTTTAAATAACCAGTTATTTTATATTTTAAATCTTTACTGTCACTTCTCTCTTTCCTTTTTCTCGCCAGAATGCAAATTAGTTCGAGTGTACATAAATGGGGTTTGAGATCATTCAAGACAGAGCGTGTTCCGCCCCTTGAAAACCACGTTACTAGTTTTGTTATTCTATGATAAGAGTTCCCGTCTGAAGTTAAATTCACACTGGTACAGTCCGAACCACCTTCGCGATAAATTACTCTGCGTAAGGCTCTGGCTATAAGTATAGAAAAGTTACCTTTACATTTGAATTCTATTTTGAAATATCGTCCTAAGTGCTGGGGGATTTGTAAGCACCAGATGCTCCTTCTCTTCATCCATTTTAGTTTACAATAAAGGGTCTTTCAAACCATTTTCCAAGTTTTCTATTGTATTCTCAGACATAACGAGAAACCTTTTTATGTCTATTAAAGGTTTGGTCACAGTTTGCAGTCGTGAAAAATTTCAAACATTACACGCTCTTCATCATAACATAGCGACACATTCGAACTTAAAGTCATTGTAGTTTTCAAAAATGCATCACAACTGGTGAGTGATTGAAAGATTTTTCTTATTCACATAAATCATTATTTTGACTTCGTTTGGTAAAAATTTCTCTTGTTAAATTGGCCTAATCAAAACAAGTTAAAATTGCCTAACAGTCTGGAGAAACTGTATTGCGACTGTAGAAAAACAGCAACTATTTTTAGTCCAAAGGGATTTGAGTCCCTTCGTTTTGGCATTTTGCGTCGGGCTCCTATAAATGTCAGTTCATTTTTTAAACTGTTGCCACGAAATGTTAGAATCCTGCATTATATTTGAAAAAATTAAATAATGAAAAATCTGCATAAATGTATGTATATTTCTCGCACTGTGATAAAACAACGGTATCTAGAGCCCAATTTGAATGACGTTAATCCACTAGCGAATATAGGAATTGAAAAAATTTGAAATTTAGAATTTGTTTTATTACCGCTTCATATTTCGTAAAACTTTGACGAATTTTGAGTACAAAAAAAACGATTTAAAAGCGAGCAATGGCAACCTCTACGGGAAAAAAAAAACTTTTTATCTCCATCGCGTCGAATGTGTATCGGAAATTCTAAAGATATGTCATTTAAAATTACATTTGCGAATCTATGAACTAAATTTTAGGTTAAGTGCAGAACATGATATTTAATAAATAAAGGTAACACACAAAACGTTAAAAAAAAAACGCCCCTTTGGACGTAAATTAAAATCTGAAACATTTCAGATTTTTTTTTATTATGTTGCAAATGCATTTGAACGAGATGCTATAGTTTCATTTTCAAACCTTACCTGAACTTTTACCTATTTGGTGCTACTTAAAATAAGGCATACAAACGCATTGTTACGCAGACGTTTGTATAATGTGATTAAATATAAAACTGAATAAATATTTCACTGACTATAAAAACTTTCAGAACATTTAACATTAACTATTTTCTGAAGCTTTATGCTCATTTCTAATACAGAAATCAAACTTTTACCTCTTTCAATCCAGTTACTCCAAGGAATGTTTCCATTTGACCAGCTGCTGACATTTGCTCCGTATCCTCCCCTGCAAAATTTGGAGAAAAATTCTAATTTGTGTAGTGTCAAATTTAATTTGCATAAAGTGTTATTCATAATATTATTCAAAACGTAAAATCAGCTAAATGGTACCAGTAGCAGACGATCGCACTGCAAATTTCAGAGTGTGCATATTATCTTGAAAAACTTTCTGAAGAGTCTTCACAATGGCTTGGAGTAATGTATCTGGTATATTAGTCTTGACAACTTCATCAATCACCCTTAAAAAAAGTATTTACGTATCAGTGAATTGTGCAAAGCAATTTATTTGATAATCTTGGAAATAAATTAATTGATTAAGACGTATTCATTCATTTTAAGAATATATTTCCAATAGAATTATTGAATAAAATTATTTTATTGTAGCAAAATATGCGAAGTATTTAAGAAGCATGAAAAGTAAAATTAATTTTAAATAACACGAAAACAAATTTAATTCTGTGTTTCCATGATGAATTGAATTTTTTTTCATTTACGGATATATATTAGATTTATATATAGCACTGTTCTAACATAGGTATTTGGACACAAAAATGAACGTTTTATGGGACGTGCAACGAAATAACGATATTTTTCTATATTTCTATTCTATGACTCAAATTATGTCAAAATGTCAATTTTTATAAAAATTGCTGATGCAGTTTCTAAAATATAGCTCTCAAAACTTTAGTTCCTGAGTGTTAATTGAATTTGGTATATATTTATTAATATCTCGTTTTTTTTAATTACACTTCCATGATTCCTTCTTTCCCAATTCGAAATTTAGATTCAATCCAAATAAAATTCGCAGATATTTTCTGATTTATTTTAAAAATTTGTATTTTTTGTAATTTTTATAAATTTTCGAAAATAATTTTTTAATTATATATCTATAATTTTTTTACCATCACCTTGAAGTAGATGTATTTCTAGGCAAGTCTTCAAAATATAGAGTCCATTTTTTCAAAATTTCTCAAGATATACGGAAATTTATGTATTGGTGAGTTTTGAAGTATGAGATATTTGTTAAAAGCTATAAATATTGCCAAATGTGGTTTGTGTACTTCGTTAAAATTAGTCGAAGTAATGAACGATGCACCTTTCTTCCGATGGAGCACAATGAAAGGGAAATGGGCTACTATAAATTAAGAATTTCGCCAAGGTTCTTCTTGGTGCAAACTGAAAAAAGTATGCCAAGATAAATTTTTAAATTCTTTATTTAATTTCTCCCCAAATTTTACAAATTTAAAATTTAGAATCAATTTCATTCGTAGAATCGAAATACAGAGAAAAATTGGTACGTCATTTCAGAAAAAGTCTGATTTTGTGTCAAGATACCTATATTAGAAAAATATAAATCTAATATATCTACTAAGTAGCACCTTCGAGGTATAAAAAACGCAAGTCCAATTTCGTCAATGGGCACTCATTGCTTTTGTTCTGTGTGCGCAGAGTGTACATTATAGTATTTATTAATCATGGCACGCATTTTTGGTAATATGGTACTAATCGTGTCGTATAAATATGAAGTTAAAAACTCTTTGGTGGTTTTATCTGAGTTTATACTACTTTGTATTTGTGAATACAATCTCGCATTTTAATTTCCCTCAATAAACCTAAAAGTGAGTTATCTGCCTAAGGGATTCCTTCGTGGAGAGCTGTCTAAGGAAAACTGAATTGTATACAAATTATATATGAGGACAATGCAGCCAGCCCGTTCCCTTGGAATCGAACCCCTGGCCAAACTAGAAGTGTTCAGCGATTTTTCCACTCTGCCGCTGGTGGATATTATCCAGACAGGAAACGCGAGGCATAAGCATAAAGATATTCTCGAAATCTTCACCACAGAACTGTGTTGTATGACTTATCTCACTTGTCTGATAAGTAACATCAGAACAAACCACGAAATTCATCGTGGCAAGAAGGCAAGATCGCGTTGAAAGTAAAATAAAGATTGCTTCTTGAAATGTTCGACCAAACGTTATCACTCTCAGATACGATAGTGATTGATAATAAGAAAAATCTAACTGTCACAAAATGTCAATCCAAAATTTCCTGCACTGCGAAAGCAGCTAAACCTTGGTGGACAGTTATTATAAAGTAGTATTTCTGCCAATAATCGAAGAACAACAGAACCAATAAGCATTTGAAATTATCACCTCAAACTGACACCAGATGTTTTCACATATGAATCTAACTTTCCATTTAGAAGTGATAACATCCAATGTATTAGATGATTTGCAAGTTCTAGACCTAACCCACAATATTATACGTCATGGGAAAAGCCCAGAGAAAGAAAGATACATGATAGTTTCATGATATTTTTCTGCACATAGAACTCCTTCTTTCGTAGAAATAAGGGATTGTGCGAATGATGTAGTTTTTAAAGAAGACAATGTTGCCTATGAATCGTTATTAATTTATTTTAAAGCCTGACAACAATTTAAAACGCAAAAACAGTAACACAGTCTAATCACGATCTAGTTAGAAATTCTTGGATTAGAAGTGTTTAATGTCACTGACAATCTGCAAATGAATATCAGTTCAAATAAAAATGAATTTTATTCATTTTTTTCCTAAAATATGTTAACTTCAATTCTTTAACAACAAATTTATTTATTGAAACTTTCGAGTTTAAATTAAAAAGGATATAAATTGTTGGAAGTTTCATTTATCTAATTTGCTGATGAAACTTATTATCTGTCAAAACTGATAGGCATGGACTATAGAACATTTCATAATAAAATTAAATTTTCATGATTTTGACAAATATCCTGAACCTGGAGGGCATACATAAATTACTTCTAATAAATTTATCAGCATACTATCTTCAGTAATTGTGTAGGATTTTCTTATTCCACATTTCTAAATTAGTGTATGTGGAAAAGAAGAGATAGATCTTACAATTGCTGCCTTACCTTTGACAAGCTTTTTTAGTATCTCCTGATGTTCTACCACTATTAAAAAGAAACAAACAATTATGTGGCTGCTATTGCATACATAATATGTAATGAAAATATATTACGAAGCGAAAAATTTTAGTCTAAATGTTAAAGAATTCTAAGACAGAAACGGTATGAGATACGAATAAGTTATGCAAAAGTAGAAACGTTTCGTAGAAAGACGTATGGTCCAAACGTTTAAAAATATCATTCTTATCGTTACATGTATTACCACATATTTAGATTATTCATTTTAGCATTTATTACTATCTCTAAGCTGCAAAACGCATTATAAAAATTCATGAAAATTACATTTTTATTCTTAATTTTATTATTTACTGAAGACGTCATATAAAATAAATATACAGTATAGATGTAATATTAGTACATTGTGATAGGTATCATCATACTTATATATAAACAGCTAAACCCTAAACAATGACGCACATTTCAAAACTGCTTTTGTCAAATGTCTGCTAATACATACCTTACTATTATTTTTTTAATTTACTCTCTCTTAACTAGAAATATAAATTTTTGTTATACGCTGATGGATATTTATTGCTACACCATAAAAAATTGCTACACCATAAAAAATGCAGTTAGTGCAATCATATATATTTCACAATATTTTATCACGAAAGGATGAAATAATTCTAAGTAAGTCTGAGATATAGAACATTCAGAAATCATCGTACCATTCTTCCTCCTCTTTAAATAATAACAGCTGTTATATGGCTGACATGGAATCGGACAGATTTTTGGATGGTAATTACGAGCACTGCAGTTAATGCGGCCAGAGTTCATCTTCATTCGTCGTATTAAGTAGCAAATGATGTTGAGTCAGTCTCTCTGCAAACGCTGACAGGATGTTTTCAGCTGGTAAGACATATGAATGCAACATGATTCAAGAAACATAGAGCAGCTTGGACAACATAGGGTTTCGCACTATCCTGTTAAAACTTGGGTCGACGGACATACCAAACACATGGCACAGCCACGCGCATTAAAATCTCATCAGTGTAGCAATGGATGCTCGGTGCACTGCATGTACGGGGTAGAAATGAACAGGATGTGTTTAAAATGGCATCTTATATCATCCACATGCTGAGCCAATCACCGATGATGAATGCCCAACCTTCCAAAGTTTGTTCTCTTCGATGCCTTTAAACATGGATTCGACAGCCAATAAGCTGTAAGTAAAGGTGGTATTCATCAGAAAAGATGTCGTTATTGGCATGTCCAGAATACGGGATATTGAACGCACTCTTGTATGTACTGATTCCTGTACTGTAAAGTCAATTAATTGGTTCCCTAGATGAAAATAGGTGGTGTTTGTGCGCAATGCTCTTTTATGCGCAGTTGTGACTAAAATAAATAACTCAGAAATAAGAATAATTATCTGAAGTTCTGTTTCATCCTGCAATATATTTATATTTTGAGAATACCAATATAAGGCCATTTAATACATTTTTAAAACATAATCCTCATCATTTAACTACAGCATTTTGTTTTCGGATTCTGCATATACAAACATGTTCTTCAAAAGACTTCGATTCTTTATGCACTTCTAGGTAGAAAATAATATTTATTTCAAACGCTCTTAAATATTAAGAGAATTAAAAGTGTGTTACGATAAAAGGCATTACATTAACAACATTCAAATATTTTACGAAGAATGTTATACTTACTATAATACATCTTCTAAATTCTTAATTTCTTTCAAAATATCTTTGGTAATAAAAGCTGCATAAGCAGATGTTGTCACAACAATACCATTTGGAACTATAAACTGAAAACGATAAATAAAACTTCAAAAATAGTTATAAGCAAAAAATACTGATATTTATATTCAGAAATATGACTATTCATTCGGAAACTAAAAATGTGAATCTGCGAAATATAATATGTTAATAGTGTGAGTATTTCCCTTTAACTTCAAATCTATTAAACTTTTTTATTAATTTGAAAGGTTATTTCCTTTTCTATGTTACAATATCGCAGTACGCTGAATTAGTTTTAAGTAATGGAGCTAATTTCGAACTTTGAGATAAAGCCTCTAAAATAATATTTTAAATCTTCCATCCATATGAATCATTGAACTGCATGTAATGACACATCCGTCTTAAATAACCAGTAATATCAACTCAATACTTTTAACTTTTTAAAGGTTGACTTACGTTAGGTTATTTGAATATAGTAAAGTCTCCAAGTCTACCTGCTTAAGAGCTTACCTGGATCGCACTTAGTTATACATAGGGAAAATCACAAAAACACAACTATTCAACCATCCGCCTGGATTCGAAGGTGATGGGTCAACGTTTTTCAAAAGAAAATCAGAATTGCTCGGAAGGTTAATTCATTACACTAAGGATCTCATTCTAATTTTAAAATATATAATTATTAATTTAATAGGGAGATCGGAAAGTAATGTCGTTTATGCGCATGTGGACAACAACATGCTAAGGGCAGAAGTGGAAGCAAATCCATGTCAAACATTCTTAACCAACTTTGGTCGACCATCCAAAAACATTTAAAGCAGAATGGAAAAATAAGCAAAGCAGGTGTTTGTGTCCCTCATAATCTGTCCGAAGAGAAGAAAGCCAACCGATCCATCACATGCAACGTATTGCTTCAACGGCACCATACAAAACGGTTTTTTGATCATTTGATTACTGGAGACGAAAAATGGGTTCTATATGATAATCCAAAACGCAAAAGGCAGTTTTAATAAGGGTTACAAAGGGTTTACATCCCAAAAAGGAGTTTCTGTGTGTTTGGTGGAGTATTCGCAAATTGTTCATTTTGAATTGCTGAAACCTGGACAAACTGTTAACGCAGATCTTTATTGTGAACAATTGGATCGAGTGAACCAATCTTTAATCGAAAAATATCGGGCGATTGTCAATAGAAAAGGCATCATTCTGCAACACGACAATGCAAGACCGCACTGTGCAAGACGGACACTGGAAAAAATGAATGAATTGGGATAGTAGGTGCTGCATCAACCACCATACTCGCCTGATATCGTACATTCGGATTTCCATTTATTCCGATCCCTACAACACTTTCTTAGTGCCAAAAAAGTTTAAAATTTGAATGATGTCCAAAATGCCATCTTGAGATATTTTACTAAAAAACCAATATCGGTCCGGGGTGTGCAAATCTGCACACTAGATGGCAAAAGGTTGTTGATAACGAGGGTGATTACATTATTGATTTAAAAAAAAACATGTTAAAATTTATTCGTATGAATTTAATGTAAGAAAGCGACATTACTTTCCGGTCTCCCTATTACAAGTATTAGGTCATAGCAACATGCAAAGAAATTTGCATATGCTTGTTATAGCAATGTGCATATGATATAGTAATATGCATATATTTGTTATAGCAAATATGCATAAAGTTGTTTACCGTACTATCATCTTGTCGCTGTTGGTGTCGTGCCTATCATAAAGGCTATTGAAATAATACCATGGGCGAAGTTGAGCCTGGCAACCTGCAAAATGTTATCGTCGTAAAATTTTGTCGTAGGTCTCTTAAACGACACTTCAATTTTTAACAACTCAGCAAGGATTTACGAGATCATCTTGTCTATAAACTAAAGTAAAAACACGCTTCTTCTGTATGGTTGTTTAAAAAAAACACTCTGTATCTAAGTCCTTAGTTGGGTGAGTATCTGTATATATGAAAAAAATAAACCCTGATGATATTAAGTAAAGGAAAAAGTATTAATTGCAAATTTTATTTTGGGAGAAGGCTTGCAATTCAACTGTACCGCTTTCTTCAACTACAAATAAATATCCTCAATTATCTAGTATTAATTAATTTCTTCTGTATGGTTGTTTTAAAAAAACACTCTGTATCTAAGTCCTTAGTTGGGTTAGTATTTGTCTATATGAAAAAAATAAACGCTGATGATATTAAGTAAAAGAAAAAATATTAATTGCAAATTTTATTTTGGGAAAACGCTTGCAATTCAACTGTACCGCTTTCTTCAACTACAACTAAATATCCTAAATTATCTAGTATTAATTAATTTCTTCTGTATGGCTTCTTCTGTATGGTTGTTTTAAAAAAACACTCTGTATCTAAGTCCTTAGTTGGGTTAGTATCTGTATAATATAAAAAATAAACGCTGATGATATTAAGTAAAAGAAAAGTATTAATCGCAAATTTTTATTTTGGGAGAAGGCTTGCAATTCAACTGTACCGCTTTCTTCAACTACACAACTAAATATCCTAAATTATCTAGTATTAATTAATTTCTTCTGTATGCTTCTTCGTATGGTTGTCTTAAAAAAACACTCTGTATCTAAGTCCTTAGTTGGGTTAGTATCTGTATATATGAAAAAATAAACGCTGATGATATTAAGTAAAAGAAAAATATTAATTGCAAATTTTATTTTGGGAAAGGCTTGCAATTCAACTGTACCGCTTTCTTCAACTACAACTAATATCCTAAATTATCTAGTATTAATTAATTTTTTTCTGCATGGCTTCTTCTGTATAGTTTGTTTTTAAAAAAAACACTCTGTATCTAAGTCCTTATTTTGGTTAGTATCTGTATATATGAAAAAATAAACGCTGATGATATTAAGTAAAAGAAAAGTATTAATTGCAAATTTTATTTTGGGCAAAAGCTTGCAATTCTACTGTACCGCTTTCTTCAACTACAACTAAATATCCTAAATTATCTAGTATTAATTAATTTCTTCTGTATGGCTTCTTCTGTATGGTTGTTTTAAAAAACACTCTGTATCTAAGTCCTTAGTTGGGTTAGTATCTGTATATAAAAAAATAAACGCTGATGATATTAAGTAAAAGAAAAATATTAATTGCAAATTTTATTTTGGGAGAAGGCTTGCAATTCTACTGTACCGCTTTTCTTCAACTACACTAAATATCCTAAATTATCTAGTAATTATTAATTTCTTCTGTATGGCTTCTCTGTATGGTTGTTTTAAAAAAACACTCTGTATCTAAGTCCTTATTTGGGTTTAGTATCTGTATATATGAAAAAAATAACGCTGATGATATTAAGTAAAAGAAAAATATTAATCGCAAATTTTATTTTGGGAGAAGGCTTGCAATTCTACTGTACCGCTTTCTTCAACCAAAACTAAATATCCTAATTATCTAGTATTAATTAATTTCTTCTGTACGGCTTCTTCTGTATGGTTGTTTTTAAAAAAACACTCTGTATCAAAGTCCTTAGTTGGGTTAGTATCTGTATATATGAAAAAAATAAACGCTGATGATATTAAGTAAAAGAAAAAATATTAATTGCAAATTTTATTTTGGGAAAGGCTTGCAATTCAACTGTACCGCTTTCTTCAACTACAACTAAATATCCTAAATTATCTAGTATTAATTAATTTCTTCTGTGGCTTCTTCTGTATGGGTTGTTTTAAAAAAACACTCTGTATCTAAGTCCTTAGTTGGGTTAGTATCTGTATATATGAAAAAATAACGCTGATGATATTAAGTAAAAGAAAAGTATTAATTGCAAATTTTATTTTGGGAGAAGGCTTGCAATTCTACTGTAAACCGCTTCTTCAACTACAACTAAATATCCTAAATTATCTAGTATTAATTATTTCTTCTGTATGGCTTCTTCTATATGGTTGTTTTAAAAAAACACTCTGTATCTAAGTCCTTAGTTGGGTTAGTATCTGTATATATGAAAAAAATAAACGCTGATGATATTAAGTAAAAGAAAAAGTATTAATCGCAAATTTTATTTTGGGAGAAGGCTTGCAATTCTACTGTACCGCTTTCTTCAACTACAACTAAATATCCTAAATTATCTAGTATTAATTAATTTCTTCTGTATGGCTTCTTCTATATGGTTGTTTTAAAAAAACACTCTGTATCTAAGTCCTTAGTTGGGTTAGTATCTGTATATATGAAAAAAATAAACGCTGATGATATTAAGTAAAAGAAAAAGTATTAATTGCAAATTTTATTTTGGGAAGAAGGCTTGCATTCAACTGTACCGCTTTCTCAACTACAACTAATATCCTAAATTATCTAGTATTATTAATTATCTTTCTTCTGTATGGTTGTTTTTAAAAACACTCTGTATCAAAGTCCTTAGTTGGGTTAGTATCTGTATATATGAAAAAAATAAACGCTGATGATTATTAAGTAAAAGAAAAATATAATTGCAAATTTTATTTTGGGAGAAGGCTTGCAATTCTACTGTACCGCTTTCTTTCAACTACAACTAAATATCCTAATTATCTAGTATTAATTATTTCTTCTGTACGGCTTCTTCTGTATGGTTGTTTTAAAAAACACTCTGTATCTAAGTCCTTAGTTGGGTTAGTATCTGTATATATGAAAAAATAAACGCTGATGATATTAAGTAAAAGAAAAATATTAATCGCAAATTTTATTTGGGAGAATGCTTGCAATTCTACTGTAACCCGCTTTCTTCAACTACAACTATATATCCTAATTATCTAGTATTAATTAATTTTCTTCTGTACTGCTTCTCTTCTGTATGGTTGTTTTAAAAAACACTCTGTATCAAGTCCTTAGTTTGGGTTAGTATCTGTATATATGAAAAAATAAACGCTGATGATATTAAGTAAAAAAAATATTAATTGCAAATTTTATTTTGGGAAACGCTTGCAATTCTACTGTACCGCTTTCTTCAACTACAACTAAATATCCTAAATTATCTAGTATTAATTAATTTCTTCTGTACGGCTTCTTCTGTATGGTTGTTTTAAAAAACACTCTGTATCAAAGTCCTTAGTTGGGTTAGTATCTGTATATATGAAA